CTTACAGTGTGCAATTTATATATATGATTTATAATAATAAAAATGATTAAAAACAAGAAATTACTTGATCAGTTGGAACATTTATGCTCTAAGTAGTTTCATTATTATGAGGAAAAGATCACTTAATATGTGATAATTAAATAAATAAATAGATAGATAGATAAATAAAAGATGTTTTAATTCAGTATGGAAGAAGAAAGCTTGGAGCCCTGGAGGAAGAGGCTGGGTTTGTGGTAATGGACTGAGTAGGAGAGAAGGGACAGCTGGGACTATCTAATAGTTGGTGTGGACAGTCCGGCCCTCGCGAGTGCTGGAGGGGCACCGGTGTGCTTCTCTGTGCGTCTGTTTCCAGAACCCTGCTGTTGTCGTTGGGGGCTCCGGGGGGAGGGATAAGGAGGGAGCCGAATTGAGTCACGATCTTGTGTGTCTAAGGTATTAAGGTGGGAGAAGCACAGACCCCACCTTATAGAACTCTCTGGAGTCTTAACCAAGAGTCACCCTGAGCAAGATTTGATTCTGGAGGAGAAACACCAAAGACAGTGCGTCCCGTGGGAGAGGAGTGTGTGTTGGTTTCTCTTAAGTGATGCTTCACGTCCTTTCGTCTGTTCTATGTCTGCTTTTGTGTAGTAATTGCTAAATGAAGGCAAAGTTTGCCTCTGGCTATAATTAGGTTTTCTGATTTTTAAAAGCATAGCAGATTAAAAAAAAAAAGCCTGGGCTAATCTGTGTTTCATAGTTACAGCCAGTTTTTGGTAACTTGACTGTCTGCCAGGATACCATATTTCAGCCCTGCTGTCCATCTGTGGGAAGCTTGTCTAACTCCAGCCAGGACCTGGTGGTCCCCGAAACGCAGGTCGGCAGCATCAACGTCCCCAGACCCACCGCTGCTGAGGCAGGTGATTCCTCTCCAAAGTAAGCAGTTGGACACAAGGAGCCGTGGTTTCTGAAGTTTCATTTGTGACTCTGTTCCTTCCAGACATGGGTAGGGGGTGTTGGTGAACTTTACTGACCAATTGAGAGGTTCAAAAACTGCATTTAAGTTCTGAAAGCAAGGCAACTTTAAACTTATATTTAACAAAATATCTCACCTTATATTGAAGAATTCCCTTAACGTGAAGCGTGGCGACGCCGTTTGAGTTACTCTGTTCCCTGCACGGGAGCTCTAGTGCTGAGCATGTACAGCTGGTCAGTGACGGAGCAGATGCCGAGCCCTCAGTCTCGCTCCACCCCCACTGCCTTGCCGGCCAGCCTGACTCAGGTTTTGTTCTTATAGAGCGATAAATGGAGATTATTGTTAGGTCAGAAAACCAGGTAATTGCAGGCATCGCCGAGTTGTTATTTCACAGTTTAATGCAGCAGCTTTGGGGTCAGGTGTGGATTGTACCCCCAGTTGCCACTTGTGAACTTTCCAAAAGTAAAGCGACTTTATTCCATTTCCTTATTTATAAGACAAGGCTACTGTTGCGAAGATTAAATGAGGGACCAATTCCTGGAAAGCCTGTAACCCAGGGCAACAGCCATCAGTTACTAAACAGTGACCCCTTTTTGACCTGAAATTCTGCAGTAGCTCTCATGCAATTCCAATTTAAAGCTTCCTGGGACTTACGTTCTCATGGGAGAGACAGACAGGATAAATAACTGGAGTATTTGCATACTAGTGACGTGTACTAAAGAGACGAAAGGAAGCACAGAAAGGGATCTAAAATATTGGGCAGGAGTTGGAGTTTTAGGGAGGGTGAACAGGTGAGACCTCGACCAAAAGGGGCTCTGATGCACAGCTGAGGAGCGAGAAGGTGCTGTCTGTAAGGCTGTCTCAGGAAGAGCATTTGGAGTGGTGGGAGTGGCGGGTGCCGAGGCCTGAGGCAGGAGTGTATGGAGGTGTTGCGTGTGGGGGTGTGGCCAGGGGACAATAAATGTGGGACAGGGTAGTGGGAGATGAGGTCAGAGAGCAGTGGGCCGGCTCATAGATCAAGTCGCATCTTGTCAGTCACAGTAAGGATGTTAGAGAGTTTGAGCAGAGGAGCAACACCATGTGACACACATTTTGAAAGGATCCCTCTGGCTGCTGGGCTGAGAGACTGTTGGAGCAGGAGAAGGAGGGCAGGGTGGTCAGAGAGATCAGAAGCTTGGAGACCAGTTAATAGGCAGACATAATGATCCAGAGCACTTCAGTGTCCATCTTCATGGAGCAGCTGTGATGTGTCCTGGCTCTGAGCTGCAGGAGGTGTTTCCTGTGCTCGTTGACACATTGTAGAGGGATGGGAGTCAGATCATCTAAAGTCACCGTCCTGGTGTTTTTCTTAGTGGATGGTGGCACCACGCGCAACAGTCACATTTGCAGATAATTCTGCGCTGCTTGTCTGGGAAATTTTCTTCCAAATGAAGGGAGCACTTTATAAAATAGATTCTCTTTGTGAGTTGTCACAGTGCACAATCCCTGGGGATTGTTCCTGGCAGTGAGGCTAGACTGAGGTCTCTTCTCGTCCTGGGTGCCGGCCACTAAAGAGGAGCAGGCCAGTGGGCTGATGAGCACAGGGAGCCGCACACAAGCTGTGGAACAAGCCTGCACAACCCTGGAACCCGCCTTCCCCACAACCCCGCAGCCTCGCAGGAGAAGCGGGCAGAAGCTCTCTCTGCAGGATGTCCTCGGTTGTTCTCCATCAAGCTGAAACTTTGCTTTGTTTCCTCTTAAACCTTTTGGGTTAGAATTTGCTTCTAATGGCCTTTGGAATTTGTGCTATATTTCAAGGTTGCCTGAAAAATTATTTCTATGTGTATCAGAAAATCAGAGTAACCTTCTAACTTATCAGATTGAGATTCAATCTCAGACACATGACCTTCATGAAGACTGCCAAGAGATTCTCAAATAAAAGTAGTTGTAATTGTGTGTGTGTGTCTGCACCTTATTAAGGGCAGACAATATGTGTTAACAGTCAGATTTAACTAGAGTGTCGTAACTCCAAAAAGGCTGGAGATAATCCATTTACATGAATTTACAGCATCTACTCCGCTGAGCTGTGACTCAGAGCCCTGTGAGCATCTTTCAAGGATCTGTAATTGTAACCATTTTAACCAGAGTCAGATCAAACGTGAGTGGATATGGTGTAATTTAGTAGCATAATCAGATGTCAGTGACATATGCTCATTATACGTTGAGTATATTTATTTGTCGGTTTAATCACAAACATTATTTCACATTTTCGTTAGGTGGAAAAGAACTAGGTTATCATTTTACATGTTTTATGTATCAAAAATATCAAGTCAAAAATATACTGAGATATCTAATTGTGACTTATTTTATATTTTTATTTCCACATTGCTTTTGTTTATTATTGTTAGCCTCCTTGCAATAAAAGAAAAAAGTGAGTACTTGCCAATTCATGAATTTGCTTTCCTAAAGTCACACATATGACCGCCAGCTCCATGTCCATGGTATTTAACAGGCCTGGACATTTTCATGGTGTCATCTCATTGGGTCCTGGGAGGACTCCTTGTAGGATTCAGAAGAAGGCATGTAGCCCATCTTACAGCAAAGGAAACTTCGAGGTTTAGGAACAGCCGTGAGGTCACTTGACTGTAAGGTGTGAAGTGAATAGACCGGGTCTCGGATTCTTGGCCTCGGACCGTCGCCAACACCACACCGTTTTCATTAGCTCTGCGTCTTTTTCCGATTTGTGGAGCTCTCCTGGTTGTAGATTAAACAGATATTTGCAGCAAGATTAATTCCGTGCAGTAAACAGTGATGACAGTTCTTCCAAGTGTTTGGGGTTTCTAACTGATGCATTTCTGCACATTTCTTACCTGTGTCCCTTAGAAACCTGCGTTAAATCCAGAAAGTCATCAACACTCGCTTTTTAAAGATAGATAAATCCTCACAAACACAATGTTGAGTGGAAGAAGTCAGTCACAAAAGACGATGTGCGGTGCGATTTGCGTCAGAAAGTTCAGACCCAGGGAGCGGATCTGTGGCTGGAGGTGGGGAGAGATCTTCCCCTGCCAGGGGGCCAGGCACAGGCTTGAATGGAGGGGTGCTGGACACACAGGCCTTCCCCTGGGGAGGTTCATGACTGTTTGTTCTTAGGTAAAACTCTTTAAATGCCTTATTTTCATAGATGTATTTGTTTAAATGCTTTCGACTTGAGGAGTAATTCTTACACGTGTATTGTAGTTGTGAACTGCCATTTCCCAGCAAAGTCCATTGCCCTTTTCTGTTGTTCCTGAGCACACTGCGTTTCTTTTAAGTTCTTGGAGCTTCCTTGTCGTGGACCAGCTGCCATGGTGAAGTCCGTGATAAAATGCTTGTCAAAACAACTTCCCTGCTTGCACTTTGTAAGATGTTATGGGAAGAAAGGTGTTGAAGAAGGCTCCCAGTTAGGATGTGAATCTGTGTCGGAGCAGACACTGCTGGAAATGCCTTCGTGGAATTCTGATCAGTCTCAGAGCAGAGCTTCAGTCAGCTTCTTTTAAGTTAACAATTTCACACCGATTTTTTTCCATATAAATGGTTTCAGAACAGCACAAATAATTGAGCAACAATAGCTCTGTCGTTTTTGAAATGTTCCTTGAGGTCAGAGCCTAAAGGAAATGAGATCGAAGCTAAAAATTACTTTGAGCAAAACTAAATTTTAATAAATATGGAAACCGAGGGCCACAGCTGTGATGTTTCTCTGGGCTTCTAATGTTAAACTAAATCTATAAGCTTTCTGATCACAGTAAATATAGGAAAAACAGGAAGAACTTAAAAGATTTTGTGGGTCAGCAAAACCTTCGCAGTCCTCATGGTTTAGAGTCAAAGGCCTCTGAATAAAATGCATGATGGGCCATGCTCAAGATGATGAGTAGGTTTCTTGCAAACCATTGCTTCTGTTCCTAAACATGACCAATTCTTTTGACTTGCTTCAAGTCAGTTAAAATTTTTTTTTTGTAGGAAAAGAAATGCATTTTTAAATGTTTCTGCCAGCTATTTACACACTAAGGCTTCTTGCTTTTTCCCCCTGCAGTGTTCCATCTCTTCATTGGAAGAGGAAACATTTAGTTCCATCAGGAGACCTAAAACGCCGAGCTCAAGTGACTGTTCCAACCTTAATACTCAAACCAACTGGGCCAAGTCACTTCCCTTGCCAACACCGGAAGAGAAGATGCGGCAGCAGGCCCAAACGGTCCAGGCGGACGTGGTTCCTATCAACATAACGGGTATGCTTCTATGCACACAGGTCCCGGGTGTCTGGGGAGGATGACGTGGGTCTTTGTCTGTTCCATGGTCTTAGCGTTTCATTTACTCAGCAGAGGTAAATAGGTAAATAGCTGTGATTTGGCTTCCTGCTCTGTTTAGTGAAGGGAATATTAAAACTTATGTGTGTGTGCATGTAGATATCTATTGCTTTAGTGAGGGGACTATGTCACCAAAAGCAGATGTCAGAGAACTCAGTGGTCCAGCCATTCATCTAAAGTGTGTCTTTTTTAAATGAATTGCTTTTTTTTTTGGTGAGGAAGATTCACCCTGACCTAGCATCTGTGCCAATCTTCTCGTATGTGGGATGCCGCCACAGCATGGCCGCTGATGAGTGGTGTAGGTCTGTGCCCAGGGACCAAATGCTGGCCGCTGAAGCAGAGTATGCTGAACTTAACCACTAGGCCACTGGGGCTGGCCCCTAAATGAATTACTTTAAAAAAATATTTTGGTTATATGGGAACATATTCTAAATGTGGTCCTGGGTAAGAAAAAGTTATGTTTCCCTTCTAAAAGGCTATTTTAAGTAATATTTATAGAAGTGAAGAAATAACACTTTTGTGAATTTCCAAATGATAGATTTTCTTATTTTCTTGTTTTCTCAAGTAGAAAAAGGGGAAATTACTTGAAATAAAAATATCAAGTGAATTAATAACTATAAAATATATTTTTTAAAAAGCTTAATAGGATGGTAAAATTATACTTTTATGTGTATAATTTGAATTCTACAAACTTCAAATAAAAATCCATTCCTTCTGAACATAAACTTTTTAGAACATTAAGCTGGAATATGAATATTAATTGCCAAATGTGAAATTCAAGTTTTTTCAGAATATTATACTCAGGTTTTAATCACTTGTGAAAATTAAGGTGACAAATAGCAAGTACATAAACCTCCAGGACAGTATTTCACAAACCTTGAGGGGCTGTTGTAGAGACCACAAGCTTCCTGCCCCCTCAGGTCCATCCCTGCAGAGGGTGGGTCAGCATTCACAGTCGACAGAGTAGACATGGGGATAGCTAACAGCTTCAGCCTTTAGACTGTGTGTTTGAGAGAAATCGATTACTGATAGTCATCACTGATAATCAGTCCACAAAGCATGGCCTATGGGCCAGAATCTGAAAAAATCAGGTTAAGTTTTCGTAAAAACTCAGATGAATGCATAGCGCCCTGGCTGTGTCTCTGAGGTGACTGCTGCCAGAAGCTTTCTGCCAGGGCATGGGTGCACCTGTCAGGGACTAAAACACTTTCATAGTTATTGAAGAGTTTTTGAAAACCTTACAAGTGTTTAAAAAACACATTTAGAACTCTATTTTGAATTCCAGAGAAATTTAATAAATAATTGCATAAATTATTTTAAATTCCTTGTGTGTTTTTCCGTATTTATTATACTTAAGCCTTAAGGGAATAGCATGGCATTTTGTCCCATTTTCTTTGCAAATAACATTGTTGATCTTTCTGAATGTGATTCTTATTCACATAGATCATAATTTTTAAAGATTATTATTATTTTTTGTTGTTGTTGAGGAAGATTGTCACTGAGCTAACATCTGTGCCAGTCTTCCTCTATTTTGTATGTGGGACCCTGACACAGCACAGCTTGATGAGCAGTGTGTAGGTCTGTGCCCAGGATCCAAACCCACAAACTCCAGGCCGCCAAAGTGGAGTGCACAAACTTAACCACTATGCCATCAGGCCAGCCCCTAAAGATTATTTTTGTAAGTAGCTACATTTCAGAACAAAGTGTAATGTTTATTGCTCAAGGAAATACATGGGTGCATATTTTCTGTTAGAAAACACATTCTTTTATTTGATTGATTAAATGCAGCGGAAACGTAGTTACATTATATATGATTAAATGATGCAGAAATAATGAGATGATTGTGTTATGAAATATGATAGGCTTTAATGGAATTAGGATAAAATGCATTATTGTGAGAATGGGAAATTTAAAACAGAGTTAACTACAGTTTGAGGAATAAAGAATTATTTGCAATGATATTAGAAATGATCCTAATAGTGGACATTGTCACAAAAGTGGACATTGCACAACAGCAGACATTGCACACAGTGAACATTGTCACAACCGCAGACGTTGTCACAACAGTGCACATTGTCAGAATAGTGCATGTTGTCACAACAGCAGATGTTGTCACAACTGCACGTTGTCACGACAGCGGACGTTGTCACAACAGTGCACGTTGTCACGACAGCGGACGTTGTCACAACAGTGCATGTTGTCACAACAGCAGACATTGCACAACAGTGCACATTGTCATGATAGTGGACATTGTCAACAGTGGACAGTGTCACGACAGTGGACATTCTCACAATAGTGGGCATTGCATAACAGTGGACATTGTCGCAACAGTGGACATTGTCACGACAGTGGACAGTGTCACAACAGTGGACATTCTCACGACAGTGGACATTGCATAACAGTGGGCATTGTCACAACAGTGGACATTGCACAACAGTGGATGTTGGCACACAGTGGACAGCGTCATCTCTGAGCTTTAATTCTCCCATTGGTTGACTAAGTGGATATGAATTACGTAGAGTTCAAAAGGAGGCCTTCACAATGCCCCACAGGAAAGGCAAATGACATAAAGAAATGAGCAATATGAGTTATGTCAAAATGCAATTTACTTTGAGTGATTAGTATTTTCAGGAATGTAAAAATTAAATGTAATACCTAATTATATATTTATTGATCCATTTTCTGGATCCATGTGTTCACATACACACATTTCACAAAGAGAATGGTTTTTCTAATATTCTGGTATAAGGAAGCATTAAACTAAAAATTTTCACTTTCAGTGGTTGAATTGACATAGGTTATACATCTTCCTGCTCTTTATATATTTCTAAAGCCCTATAAGATTTGGGGGATAAAAATGTAGCTTCCTGCAGGGACTTGTCATGTGCTCATTTATTTGGGTGAACACTGACCCTCTGGTTTGATTTTCAGTAAGGTTCAGCAAAGGAGAAAATGCTGATAAATATATTATTTCAAATCCAGAGTGAAGCCTGCCAGGCATATATGGAACATTAGCAGGAAGAGCTGCCAGCTCGCAAATCGACTTAATCCCTTTAGTCATGGTCCTGTGCAGACTCATCATGTTCTGACAGTTGAAGAGAAAAAAATATTTAACATGAAATGTACCTATGGGTATGTTCCGTGATCTGCCGTGTGGGATGACAGCTTTTCCACCGGGAAGATGGACAGCGGGTAAACATACTTCAACAGTTTTACAGGCTCACTTTGTGCTGATGCCTGAGCAGCTGAGTTTATTTCCAAGTAGGAACCATGACTGACTGACGCCCTTTTTCAGTGAAAGGGAATGATTCCATTCCTCTCCATTCAACGCATGTTTGCTGAATAACTGCCTTCTGTTGGAGGTTGAGCTCAATGCCACAGGAGATGCTAAGGTCCATGAGTCACCGTCCTTTCCCTGGAGGAAGGTGCGGTCCAGCAGGGGACAGTCCTTCTAGGTCACGACGCATGGCGGAGAGCTTGGCACCTTTAACAGCGTATGTCTTAGCTGTCTGTCCTCGTGGGTTGTCTCTTAATTTCCATGGAGCTTGGGTGGTTTATCTTTTGTTTCTCTTTGGGAAGCAAAACTGGAGACCAAATGCAACTGTCTGTTGTTTTGTCCGTTCTTAATGCCTTGATACAAGGAAATTTGTTCCTCTGCTGCAGGGAACTGCTGGACGTTGAAGTCATGACCTGCCCCTTAGAGGCGCCATGTCTGCTGTCCCACCTAGTGACCCGTTTATCACAGCGATGGCGCCTGCTGGGGTTTCAGGTCTTCTCGCAGTTGTTTCTGTTTTCTCCACTAGAACACAGTTGCAAGCGCTTTCAGGTCTGCCAGCACTTGTTTCAGTTTGTTGCTTAGCAGGTGAAATATGCTTTGATCATTCAGATCTTTTAACCTCTGTTTTCATTAGATAAGGTTCTATTCACAGTTTACTCCTGTTAAAAATAGAAGATACGTTGCTTACAGCATCCCCACTGTGAATGTGTATGAGGATTGCTAAAAAGAGTGAATGTTTTTATACTTTTCTTAGAACATAAGAATGATGGAAGTATATAATTTGTGTGTATATATATATATTTTTTAAATCTTTTTGAGGAGAATAATCATTTAACAAGGAAAATGCTATAAAACTTTAAACTGTCAGGTAATGTAAAGCAGACCACTCAATATCTGATACTTTATTATTTTATGGTTTCCCATGGTGTGTTTGTCTCATGGGTGTGGCATTCTGGGTTTGACTGCAAAATTCCCTGAAATGTCTGAATGAAGATCAACTTCAGAAAGTGGTTGTGAAACAGTGAAGCAGTTCACTTTAGCACAGCAGTGCTCCTGGGTCGCACTGTGTGGAAGTGCTTTATCATCATAAGGCTTCGTGTGTTCCTTGTGCTTGTATCTCACACCATAGCAATTACCACGGTCAATCCAAATTGTCAGCCTCCTTAACTGAACGAAAAAGCTCTTCATCCAGGAATTCTGACTGAGTTATTTTTCTCTTCACATGAGACATTATACTGGTCTCTGGAGTTGGCCAAGTGATTATAGCGTGTTATTGCCGTCACCATGTCAACACTAGCATGCAGTGGTTTTGGTGACCACACCTTTATGAAATGCTTCCCAATGATCCATTTTAAATAACAGACTCCCTCTTCCTGTGTGTTTTTAACAAGTTTGCATTGCTGCTCCCACTCATTTGAAAATGAGAGGAAGGAGCGTCCTTTGGAAGGACACACAGATCGTGGGAACAAGCCTTATGATGACAATGTGCTTTCCTGCCTCCCTTGCCCTTCAGCATTCATGCATCGTGTGACTGCTAGCATCATTATTAATGCCTTCTTATCATGTACAACAAGCTTCTGGAAGGACGCGCACGGTGTCAGCTTGCTGGAATAACATGCTTTGCTTGTTCTACTTACTCCACATCAGGGGAGAATTTCGATCGCCAGGCCAGCCTTCGGCGGTCTCTAATTTACACAGACACTCTGGTAAGACGACCGAAGAAAGTCAAAAGGAGAAAGACTATTACAGGAGTCCCTGACAACATACAGAAGGAGCTAGGTATGGCTCATCAGAACCGTAATCTGTTGCCCCTTGTTGCTGCTCAGCATCCCTATGCTAACCTCCACTGTGTGCTTGTGAAATGGATGTGTTCTGACAGCCCGAATGGGGCATCGGGTGCAAATCTTAACACCCATGAAGATGGTTAATTGAATTCTGGTGAGAAGGTAAGAGGAAGAGCTTATGTGAAAACTGTTAACTGGGATGATAGAAATTTACATTGATGCCATCATCTCTATGCACCTTGAACATTGGGTATTTCCACAGTTAAATTTACTTTCAATTTAGATCTTAAGTTTTCATAAAACCGAGAACTCATTCTAGGACTTCAAATTATGCATATGGCCTTCATCAGTTATACTGACAATATTGGTAGCCTTTTGTCATCAAAGAGACAGCCATGTGGGGGAATAAGTAAATAGCAGTATCAGAGAAAGCAGTCATTTACATTGGGTAGGGCCTTAAAGCCACTTCCAGTGAAACAATTTCATGGCTTCTTGGTTCCCTATTTTTCAACGTGTGATAAAAACAGAAAACAAAGGACATCCTTTTTGGCTCGTGGAATGGTGTTGACTTTGTTATTCACTTATCCGTCTTGTTTCTGCTCGTCTTTGTATATATGTGCTCCAGATAATCCTTTCATTCTCCTCTTTCTGGGCTCCCCTCCCCTCCTCTCCTGGTCTAAGGAGCCCATCAGAAATGTCTGCGGAGGCCAGGTAGCGCATGGGTCAGGGGCTGGGTCTCTGGCGCCAGGCTCCTTGGACCTGAGTCCTGGCTCGGCCACTTACTTCCTGGGGCCTCGCTGTCACATCATCTCCCGAGTCTACTTCCTCGTTCTGAAAATGAGGTTCATGACATTGACAGAACCTACCTCATGGGGCCGTTTGAGTGTTTCCTGAATTTGTGCCAGTGCAGCACGTGGTGTCTGGAGCCCATGGTTCCTGTGTGTTTTCCCAGCACCCCTCCTGACTGCCTCACAGTGAGGAGGGAAGGCTCACTCTCTTTCCTTGACGTCTTCTCTCACTGCCTTCTAGTTCCACATTCGTGTGCTCTGCCTTCCAAACCATGACAACAATGGGATGGGAGGAGCATGCTTTGCCTCAGTCTGTCACTCTGGTGAGATGGCAGACGGGTGCTCCTCTCACCCCGGAACGTGGGGGTTTATTACAGACCAGGGCGAGGTCGCGCCCACGGAATTTGCCAAGCTTGCCTCTGGCTCCTGCCTGTCCATCTGCTTCCTTTACTGGGCGCCCTCCTGTATCCCATGCTTTCAGGCTCTTTTTCCTCCTTTGGGTGACAGCTAACTAATTTGAGAAATTGACACATGCTTGAATGTTCAGTAGATGCCTAATGGGCTAATTTCTTACAGCACACAGGTGACATTTACATGTTAACTGATCTTTTAGAAGATGTACCTTGACCCAAAGGAGTGACTTTAAAGATAGGCCTTTCATGAGATGAGAGGTTGATGTTTTAAGATAGGCTACATTGTAAGTGGCTCTCCAACCAAAATAGGTAGGTTTTGGATGACTTTGTGCAAAGAGTAAAGAATAATTTGGCCCAGATAAAGATACACATACACATAAGTATTCAATATGAATTATCTATCTAGCTTACCATTGATAATATGCCTTCTAGAACCTCGGAGTTAGGAACTTTTATCACTTTTATTACTGAATCAACCAGTATGGGGCCAGTAACTCAGTTGCTTCTGACCTTACTTAAGCTAGGTAAATCATATGTCCTGTAATTTTAATATTTTTAAAATCAGCGACTGAGTCCCTGGAGCCCACGTTCATTGCTCACATAATATAGAAACACTGCTAATGCTGGAGGAAAGAAGGCGGCACTCCCACATTGTGTCTGTGTGGTGGTTGTTGCCACACATGCACAGTTGACATCACTGCACTGACGTCTAGGATGTGACCTGGGTCTCAGCTGAAGGGCACCTGAGAAGGCAGAATCTAAGTTAGAGCTAGTTTAAAAAAAAAAAAAGGCAATTAGCTCTAGTGTATAGATGGGCTGGTTGGGTCGACTGGTGTAGGGAGAAGGGAAATGACACTTGAATACAGTAACATGGAGCAAAAAGTCCATTTGTTCATTTTATGACTTCCAGCTGACCTCCCCTCCCTCCCAATAGAATGCACTTATCAGGTGTCCGGTTTGAAAGCTCTGTGCTACCTGACGAATGGTCATCAGAAATAGACACTTCGTATTTCTTTAAAAACGAGTCTCCTGATTTACAGCATAGGGAAGTGTGGCTGAGTCAAACAAATTAGATTAAAAAAGAAAATGAGGGGCCAGCCCCATGCCTGAGTGGTTAAGTTCCAGTGCTCTGCTTCGGCGTCCAAGGGTTTCGCTGGTTCGGATCATGGCGGGGACCTAGCACTGCTCATCAGGCCGTCCTGAGGCAGTGTCCCACATAGCACAGCCAAAGGGACCTAAAACTAGAATATACAACTATGTACTGGGGGGCTTTGGGGAGAAGAAGGAGGAAAAATTTTTAAATCTTTCAAAAAAAAAAGGAAATGATTATCGTAAGGAAAGATGTTCACTAGGAAGAGGCAGGCTGTCCATGAGACTCTGCCCACGTTGCTGGTTTTGGATTTTAAAACCTAACCAGAGATGCCTCCAGAATTGGAGAGTTATATATACATATGTAGTTTTTACTTCAAAATCCATAAATAGTGGACTCTAGAGACTAGCTAATATATATTGCTTTAAGATCAAGGAATGATACTTATTGTTTAAAGTACATTTATGGCTTATAATTTATTGCTTTTCATATAATGAATCAAACAAAATTTCTAACTTTTTCTTTACTCTTATTATCTTAAACATACATAGAAATGGATTTGTTTCTTTTAAAGGTATGCTGTTTTTTGGTGAGGAAGATTGGCCCTGAGCTAACATCTGTTGCCAATCTTTCTCTTCTATTTTTTTTTTTTCCTTTTCTCCCCAAAGCCCCAGTACATAGTTGTATATCCTAGTTGTAAATCATTCTAGTTCTTCTATCTGGGATGCTGCCTCAGCATGGCTTGATGAGCATTGTATAGGTCCACGCCCAGGATCTGAACCAGCAAACCCCAGGCTGCTGAAGTGGAGCGTGCGAACTTAACCACTCAGCCATGGGTCCAGCCCCTAGAAATGCATTTGAACAACCTGTTATGAAGTTTCATCTTTAGAATCAGGTAGATTATCTTTCCAGTCTCTAATTATATTAGCTACTGCATAGTTTGGATACTCCTGGAACTTAACCCAATATGTGTTCCCCAAGCAGAAAAAGCCTCATAAGAAGGAATCCTCTTCTGAATAATTTTTGATAGTTTGTACTAAGAACATTACTGAAGACCTGACAAGACTTTTAAAACATTTATATACTAAACCTTAAATAAACTAACTTGTAGATTTCTATCATCTTTGATTATGTATGTTTTTAAAAAATTGGACAAACCTTGTAGTAGTATATAATAAGTAAAAGAAAAAACACACAATTATTTCTTTACATTATATTTTAAAATCAGATAAATGCCATCAGGATTTTTAGCAGCAGTGAGTGGTCAACAGTTGTTTGAGTTCTCCTTCTGTTGTTGTCTTTGTTACTTAACTGTGACTGAGAGAGCACCGATCTGAGTCCTGTGGTGTTGTGGTGCTTTCTGCACTGTGAAGATAGCTGGAGGACCTGTTTTTGGGATAGAATTTTGGTGGTTCCCATGATAAATATCTGAGTTGTTTTTCATATGTTTTTAAAAGTTTTCAGAAGCCTAGCGTGGTTTCAGGTTCAAAATTGCTGACTGAAATACTCAGGACTTTGTTAATGGCCCTTAAAGAAAGTTAAAAATCTACCACTGACTCCAGGCAAAAACTACACAATTTTGAAAGAAAAAGATATTAAAACCCACTGTTGAGGGGAATAAAGTATCTTGAATGTTTGGAACTAAAGTGGCACAAACTGGTGCAGCCATACAGGTCAACCTCCCACCTCCTAAAATACCAAATGGCAAAAACTTTCCATCTTCTGTTTGCTTTCCTCCAAGTGGTCTTTCTTCTGCTCCTTGCTTTTTGCCCATTGCCCCTCTTTCTGAGGCAGAGCCTCGTGTGTACACCTGTGTGTGTGTTTCTTCAGTGAGTGTCCTTGGGTGTGCGTAGGGGAGGAAACAGACCCTTTTTGCTAAAGACACGAGTCTGAGCATGACTCTCCGTCATCCCAGTGGAGGAAGGACCCAAGGCTTGCTTTCTCACATGATGACATGTTCTTTGAGGCTGACACAAGAACAGTGCTGCCACTTTGGTAAGACCCTCTGCTGTCTGGCTGAGCAAAAGGCTTTATTTCTACTCAAGGACAGGTGGCATGCACAGGTTAGTGTACATGTCGGGTCGGGCGGGACCCACGTCCAGGAATCCCATCCCCACGAGTGTCCCTGCCCAGGGGAACCGTGATGCCAGGGGCTCAGCTAACATCACTCAGCAAAGCATGAGCTTGAGACTTTTTCAGTTCCTTGTTGGATGACAACAGAGAGAGAGAACTGTAGTTTTGCTACAATGTTTCAAGATATAATTTGTCCTAATGATTACTATGCATGGGTTGATTTTTCTCCCTGTACATGTTGGGTAAGTTCTTGGCTTGACGATTTCTTTTAAGCTTCTGTTCCTATCTAGGTAGCTTGAAATGTGTCTGTCTACACCTAGGAACAGAAGGTTCTTTCTCGACCACACCCCCCCCCCCCCCCCCCCCGTTGGTTTGGCCTTCCTCATGCCTTTTTCTTTTTTTTAACATGATACTCTCTGTTTGGTCGTAAAGCTCCAAGAAATGAGTAATCCTTGTCTGAGGAAATGTTCCCTGGATCCATTCCTGCTTTCTCCCACCAGAACACAACAGATTGCTATTGAATTTTGAATGTCACTGACAGACGATAATGGCTTAAGATGGATAATGAAATGTTTGAAACACAGATGGGCCTGTAAATCATTTTTCTTAGGATTTCCTTCTGACATAGAAAATCAATGTAATTAACACTGTTTTATACCCATATCCCCCATAAATGGCACCTCTGGAGCCCTGTTGCTGAGGCTTTATCATCTGTCCTTGGGAAAGATGGTCACTGCCCAACAGATGCTCTGTGCAGTCACCTGGTGGGTGACAAGCTTCCTTGAAATCTACTGAAAGGAGGTTATTTGAAAAGTAAATCTTCCACAGAGCACTCATCCTTGATCTCAAAGGGAGCACCTAGCAATGCCGTGTGCAGCACCTAATCTGTAGGAGGAGTTGAAGTTCAAATCAAGAGAAGTGCATGAAACTCGTCATAAGGTTTTTATTTTGGGAGCTATCAGTAACTACTGAACCTGTCATTCAAGGCCCTATAGGAGAAAAACTAGATCAAACAGAATTTTTTTAAAGTGCAGTAGAGTCAGAAGCGGGTGTGGGTGCAGGTACGAACTAAGACAGTGACTTTTATTTTTAGGTGACAAGCCTCTTTCTGCTTTATCTCCAGCATCCGGCACGGGTGAGGATGATGTTGGTGGTCCCTCAGTGTACAACCCAGACGACTACTCTACACTGGGAAGGCTTGACAGCCATCGGTCTGCTGGGCAGCACTGGGAAACCAGGGACTCCAGTTGTCAGACAGAGGAAGTGAGAGTCGTCCCACCTTCGATGAGAAGGATCAGGGCGCAGAGGGGGCAGGGCATTGCTGCCCAGATGGGCCACTTCTCCGGCTCCTCCGGGAACATGTCTGTGCTGAGCGATTCCGCCGGCATCGTGGTCCCTTCTCGCCTCAGCCACGAGGCTGGTTTCCACAGCCTCCCACGCTCCGCAGCAAGGGCCAGCGTGCAGTCCAGCGGGCCGAGGCTGGGCGCCCTGGGCTCTGCAGGAGGCCTGGACGGCACTTTCCCCTACGAAAGGGACGACCCACAGGTGGAGGGAGACTCAGGACATTTAGGAGGGGCCTCAAGGACTGGGACTCTTGTGAGGCCCAAATCCCAGGAGCTGAGGCCCTTTGAGAGTAGAAACCTGACAAGCCCAGCGTGTGTGGTTTCTCCCCACGCGACCTACTCGACGAGCATCATCCCCAACGCCGCACTCTCCTCCTCCTCGGAGGTGATTGCCATTCACACTGCTCCGAGTTCAGGGCCACCGGACAGCAGAATTACCAGCTCCTCTTCCCACACAAGGATAAAATCCAGGGACCACCTCCTCTCCAGGTGTGCTGGGAAAGATGACCGTCTGTCTCCCAGTGGCAGCTGGAATGAGGGTCACTGCACTCTCTCACAGGCCTTAGATGCCCATTCCTCCAGTGCGACCACACTGTTGACCCTCTGTGACTCTGCGGTCTCTCTAAATGCCCCTGCAAATCTGGAGAACGGGTCCCCCGGCGTGGCCTACAACCGACGGAACAAGCTGAGCTTCCCGGCGCCTGACGACGCCGACGGCAGGAGTGAGTCCAGTGACTGCGGGGGCCGCGGGCGCGGCAGTGCGGGGCCCTGGGAATACGGCGCCCCCGGGGACGGGCGGGCATCCTCACCGCAGCAGCGGGCCGCCACTCCGGGTTACTCCAGTCCCATTAGCAACGTGAGCAGCTGCAGCTGGGACCAGACGTCTAACAAAGATGATGCCGGGTCCCTGTATTCGGGGGACCACGATGGCTACTACGCATCCGCGCACCCCGACTCTGGATGCGAACCTGGGGATCTCCGCCACAGCAGCAATGGCTTCGGGAACCCCAGGCACAGTGTGGTCAATGTTTTTGAAGGGAGAGCTCCCAAGAGCCAAGGGGACCGGCCACATTACCATGACAGATCCCTCTCGCGAAGCATCTCCTTGAGGAAAGCGAAGAAGCCTCCGCTGCCGCCGTCGCGGACCGACTCCCTGCGCAGGACGCCCCGCAAGGGTGCCCCGGCCCCGGGGCCGGCGCTCAATCGGGGCCCACGGGTCTCGCCGCCGCGGGTGCTGCGGCTGGACCTCGGCGGCGGGGGCGGCGGCTCATCCTCCCAGAGCCCCTGCAGCGACGCGGAGGAGCCCTGGCCGCCGCGCTCCCGCAGCCCCAGCACCGGCAGCGCGGCCAGCAGCGGGGCCTCGGCCACCACGCCCACCGCCTCCTCACTGGGCGGGGCCGCGCACAGCGACACGAGCAGCATCAGGTCGGAGGGCGCCGAGTCCTGGCCCTACTGCGCCCACGGCCCAGGCGCGCACGGGGACCTGGGGGGCGCGCAGGGGCGGCCTGGGCGCGGGGGGTGCGGGGCAGCGGGTGCCGGGGGCTCCGTCGCGGCGGTGGGGAGCCCAGCGCGCAGGGTCACCTCGCCGTCCAGTGGGTACTCTAGCCAGTCCAACACGCCCCCTGCGCTCACCCCCGTGCCGGCGCTCTTCAAGGCCGCGTTGCCGGCAGACGGCAGGGCCAGGGCGAAACCCAGGGTCCCCGAGAGGAAGTCCTCCCTGGTTTCCTCGGGGTCGCTGTCTGCATCCTCCACGTCCCTCTCCTCCAGCACCTCGGCGGATGGGGGTGGGGCCGCGAGGACACCGGGCTCCACGCCCCCCTTCCCTCCTCCGCCCTTCCCTCCTCTGCCCACCTCGACGGAGGCCCCTGAGGGCGCTCCTCGGCCTCAGTCTCCCCCGTTCCCCCCTCCGCCACCACACGTGCTCCTCACTTGTCCCCCCACGCCCCCTGACCCCCTTCTTCTGGAATCCTCTGTCCCCGCAGCGCCCCCGCCTGCCCCACCCCTCGACCCCAAGCTGCTAGAGGACGCCCGGTCTCCTTTCAGAGACTCTGGCCGGGCAGAGCCTCCTCGGGAGGCCTGCCGGCGGCTTCCCGATCCAGAGGAGGGCAGGCTGCCCCCGCTGATAACCCGGGAGGCTCTGCGGACGGTGCAGCTGCGGCCGGTGAGGCCGAGCCCAGGGCCCGAGGTGGCCCCGTCGTGCGGGCAGGGGCTCCGGAGAGAACTCACGCCGGCTGCTCCCCAGGACCGCGGGAAGCCATCTGCTTCCCCGAAATCCCGAAATAGCACGAGAGAGATGCAGCGCGACAGCCCGCCCGCCTGCGCCCCTGGCGCTCGTCCCACTCCCGCCGGGAGCCCGGGCGGGGGGCGCGGGGATGCGGGGGACCCCGGGGCTGGGCCCGGCACCTCGCCCAGCAGAAAGCCACCCCCCATTGCCAAGAAGCCCAAGCTGGTCCTCATGGTGCCGCCCCCGCAGAGGCAGCTCCCGGCGCCCGGCCCGAGGGGAGAGGCGGGCGGCTGTGCGGCCGGGGCCAGTCTAGAGGGGACTCGCTCTCGCTGCTCAGAGTTGGAGGGGGGAGCCACGGGGTCCGTGTCCCCGCGCACCCTGGACACCGATGTTCCCGCGGTGCAGCCTGACGCCTGGCGGGCCACCGAGCAGGAGCAGCCGGAGGGGCAGGAGGAGTCGCGCGTGGAGGACGGAGCGCACGGAGCGGGGAGCGGCCCGGCCCCGCAGGACTCGCGTCGTGAGTGCCCTTCCCTGTCCGCTCCAGCAGGGGGGACCCGTGTCCCTGAGGGCCAGCAGTGTGTGGGCTTCCTGTGCGTCTCGCACTTAGGGTACCGACTGCATTTTATGAGATTTTTCAATACCCCAGCTCTGAGGGTAGCTTCCAGAGAGGCCGACAGTCGAGGGGTGTGGTGGTCTGCAGCAGGCGGGGTCTTAAACAGCGCCGAGCCGTCCCCCCAGAGAGCTGCAGAGAAATGGCACAGCAGAGAGAAGGGGGCGCTGGAGTCTAGACCCTAACAGCAGAGTGGGCGTTGGCTCTTGTGTTCGTGTTGGCCCCCATCCTTGTAGCATACCCGGCTCCAGACCCTGCTGCCTCCCCCGTGGCTCGCAGACTGTCGGGATGGCGGAGGGTGTGTTGGGGGGGCTTGGCTGAAGACGGCTCAAGTCACTGTCGTCTTGTCTTTCTGGTCTGCTTGTCTGCAGCTGGGGCGCCGCAGCCCGACGCGGCCGGTCCTTCCTCGGAGGCCTGCGACCTCCTCCAGGAAGAGGAGGGCGATGAGGCCATGACCCCCAGCAGACCCCGGACCACCGAGGACCTCTTCGCCGCTATTCACAGGTGTCCGGAACCCCTTTCTCTGTTATTCTGCTCTGTGTGTCCTCCTTTCCAGATGGCTCCTCGATGTGTTTTTCTTTCTTGAGGTTTCTTCTGTCACCCAATTGGGATTCCTTAACTTGATGATGAATGTTTTGTATGTGTTTCTGTACTTTCGCTTCCTCTGCAGTATCTGTTTTACTTTGCCCCACCGGTTTTATGAGGGGGGCAGGGACACAGGCGCTCTGCGATGCTTCTGGCCGGCACTGCACTTGCTGGCAAGAAATGCAGCGTGTCGGTCATATGATGAGGTGTTTATCAGAGTGGGGCTGGAGCGGGGGCGGCCCGTCCACGAGGAGGAACGCTGTGTTCCGTGGACATAAGATGCACAGACTGGTTCTACGGGACTTCTTTCCTTCAGGTGTTTTATTATTTTTATTTTACAGAAAAACTAGGATTTTAGAGTGCAATTTCTCTGGCTACTTAAATGTTTCTATGAAAGAGTACATCTTTTTTAAGCAGGTGCAGAAGGAGCGCAATTTGCTTCTTAGTGTATGCTGCTAGTGCCACCTACTGGCATCAGAAATTATTGGGCTTAAAAAAGTATAGAGTAAATTTTTCAAAATAGCTGCCTGAACTGTTATACTTTTCTATGTGGTCACCTTGAAAAGTGAACATGACTTAGCACTAGAGTTGTATTTATTGCTTCATTTTTCTGGTTGTGAACAGCCGAGCACTCCCACAACAGTGTCACTGTAGAAATTTTGAGATTGGGTGTGTGCAGGTACTTTAAATCGTAATGCTGTGGAAACCCTGGCTTCCTCCGGACTGGTCTGCACGGTGTTCTCAGACGACCCTGTGGATGCCCAGATGCTGCCAAGGCCTGGCATTGCCCTGAGTCAAGGTCCCTTTTTCTCCTCCTGAAACTAAACGTCCTATAAAGTCATTTGATTCTCTGTGTGGATAACCTTGTGTCAGGACTGTTTTCCCAATTCTTGGAATCTAACTGAAAAGACCGTTGCACAAGATGGGGGCATAGTGCTTCCCCACCCAAAATTCCTCCTGCGACACAGACACCTAACTCAGAGGGAAACCAGCTGTGAAGTCAGGTGTTTGTAGCTCTAGTGTGGCTCCAATATCCCAAAAGACCCTGAAGACTGCCCCTTTAACGTTGACTAGTTTCTTTGACCTCATTAGAATAAAAATGTAGCTTGTTATCAAATTACTTCTCAAAACAGGGAAATGAAAATGCTGCATCTTTTTTTTTTAAAGATCAGCACCTGAGCTAACATCTGTTGCCAATCTTTTTTGTTTTCTCCCCAGAGCCCCCAGGACCTAGTTGTATATTCTAGTTGCAGGTCCTTCTGGCTCTGCTATGTGGGACGCCACCTCAGCATGGCCTGATGAGCAGTGCTAGGTCTACACCCAGGATCCGAACCAGTGAAACCCTGGGCCGCTGAAGTGGAGTGCACGGACTTAACCCGTTGCCCATGGGGCCAGCCCCACTGCATCCTCTGAAACCAACTTTACTGGCATTTCTAGAAGTTTACTTAGATGTTTGTAACTCTAACCATGCTGGACACACAATCAGCACTCAATTATATAATATTTTCTGAATTAAGTGAAACCAGTTGGAATTTAACTGTTAGGAAATTCTTCCAAGACTGGACATGTTTCATTCGGTGTGGAGTGCATGGGGCTGCTAACCACACACCACACAGCGTGTGTGTTTATAACTAGTCCACGGAGAAGCTGTGTCACCTGGCTGCTGTTGATAAACACCTGGGCTCAGTGAGAAACCAGCTGTCGTGGGGCCAAATTACTACCTGCTTTTCTTAAAAATATGCCGAAAGTCTCCTCTGTATTTTATTTTGGGGACCTCAAGGCACTGAAAACTGCGGTTTCTCCTGTCGGAGAGTTGTATCTACTGCAGATGTGGGTCGGCCAGCATGTAGTTCTGTGCACATGGCAGAGGCAGGGCTGGGTGGGGTGCAATTGCACAGGGAGAGCAAGACATGTGCCAGTCTCCTTTTTCACACTGATGATATGTCAGCAGACCTAGGAAAAATCCATCTGAAGTCTGATTTTTAGGATTTTATTTTATCTTATATCCTTCAGCATCTAAGCTAATAATTTAAAATAAAGACCATCTAAATTGAAACACAGCTTCCAAATTTTACAATGCAAATTAATTCACTTCAGATTTAAAGCCAGATGGAAAATGTGGAACACCAGTTGAGGTGTGAAGTTTTTATATTTATTGAAGTAGTTTTCAAGCCAGTGTTAACTGTTTAAGCACTTTCTATAGCCATCTTTTTTAGAAATACACACACAGTGTATATATGTGTTTACATGTATATACATCCATGTATGTAGAGAATTTGTATGTTTAGACTTAATTCCCATTTTAGGGGGCAGCTGCTCTTGAGAAAAACAATACTTTTATAAATTCTCATCTCCTCTCAATTCTTAATCTACATCCAAAGGCATCACTTTGATCAGGTGCACTGTGGCTTTCAGCACACGTCGCTACTTACAAACCAAATGATTGGGACTGGCCCAGTGGCACAATGGTTAAGTTCTCACACTCTGTTTCGGCAGCCTGGGGTTCTTTAATTCAGATCCCGGGTGCAGACCTACACACCACTCCTCAAGCCATGCTGTGGTAGGCATCCCACATATAGAGTAGAGGAAGATTGGCACAGATGTTAGCTCAGGGCCAGTCTTCCTCAAAAAACAAACAAACAGTTACACCACAGACCAAGCCCTGCAAGCGTGAGGTGAGCGGGCTGCTCTGGGGAGTGGCCAGTGGGAGCTGTGAGGTCCGTGCTGTCAGTGGGAAGATGCTCCACCATGTCCTGGTTCTTGTGTTCAGTGTGTGACCTCACTCTGTGCACCTCACTTACCTTCTCTGGTCAGACTAAACCATCCAGAGTCTTTTCCAGCTCCACAGCTCGGAGGCATCAGTGACTTACTCAGAGCACTGCTCTCCTGACAGCCGAGCAGGGCCATGGACCCAGCTCTGCAGGCCACAGGGGCTGGCGCTGCCCTGGGACCCCACGTTGGGTCCTTACCATCCGCTTTCTTCCTCTGGTGACTTGTTTTTGGCCGGCAGCTAGAGAGACCCCTGGGGGCACCAAGCGCCCGCCGTGGGCCATGCTCCTGCTGCACAGGTCTCATAAGAGCAGTGCTGAAGCCTGACCTGCGGCGGGAAGGGAAACTTGTTTCCCTAAGCAACACGGGAAGGTGTGTGCACACCTGCTCTGCGCCTGACACGTGAGGCTGTTCCTGCGTCATCTTTGTTGATAGACTGAGCCATCAACAGCTATTCCCTCTCCTGGTAGGAACAGGGTCAGAAACTTTGACTTGCCCAAGGCCATGTGGCTCCAGAGGTCTTCTCTCCTTGAATCCTCACGGACCTGTGAGCTTGGCATCATCCTCCCCGTCTTACACATCTGAGAACTAGGGTGCAGCATAGATGAGTGATTTGTCCAAGGTCACACAAGGTCACTGCAGTTGATACTGCTCGGATCCAGCCCCTACCCTGTGTGTACAGATGGCCCCTCATACCTGCCCCTGTGGTGAGAGAGAGAGAGACCCGAGAGAGAGACCCGAGTCTTTGTTTTATTCAATGTTGCGTGTCCTTCCAGCAGGTCCCCCTGCACTTAGCCGAGTTGTTGTGAAGAGACCAGCGAAGGGCCACGTGGCTCATCTGCTTGTCGTCTCTGACTCACCCACTGAGCAGAGAGGTCCTTAGGGACCGAGGAGGAGAAGCTGCCCTTCCCTGAAGGCCCCTCCTCCTCACCCTCTGTCCCCACTACTCGCGTTCTCCCATCACTCCATGGGAAACAGGGTTTGGTGCGGAGGTTCACTCTATTTTCTGGAAACTTGGATTTCTGGGAGTGGACATAGGGTCCAGTGAGAGCCGAGGAAGGCCAGTTTATGTCAAACTCTAGAATGACGGAATGTGAATTTGAGGAGTTGTTCTAGAACCTCAGGGGGCCTGTCTCCGTGGAGTTGGCTTGTCTCAGCGCTGGCTCCAAACAAGGAAGGGAAACAGGCTGCCCAGCACTGTGAGGGTCACTCAGGATCAGTCCAGTAGGAGAGCTAAATGGAAATGGCACTTAACTAAAACCTTTGGAAATGGTCCCATCCAAAGTAAGATAATAGGGTGTCTGAGATTTGTTTCAAAATAATCCAGGGGGTGGAGGTGAACTGGGGGCCGTGAGTTGGTGTTCTCATAGCTGGGTCGTGTGTGAGCACACGATGAACTGTTCTTTTTGCACAGAGGTTTGGGAGGCTTCCTGGTAAAAATAAGAGGTAGTGACTTAAACGTGTCGTAGAAAAGCAGGATGGCTGTGGTGACAGTGACGTCTAGGGCCTTTGGGAATTCATCTTTATCTTAATGCTATTAAATCTCAGATCCAAGAGGAAAGTCCTTGGCCGTAAAGACTCGGATGACGACCACTCCCAGAACCACTCCCCATCCCCTCCAGTGACACCCACCGGTGCTGCCCCCAGCCTGGCCTCCCCGAAGCAGGTGGGGTCGATTCAGAGAAGCGTCCGCAAGAGCAGCACCAGCAGCGACAGCTTCAAGGCTCTGCTGCTGAAGAAGGGGAGCCGGTCAGATGCCAGCGCCCGCATGTCGGCCGCAGAGATGCTCAGGAGCACAGACCCCAGGTTTCAGAGGTCAAGGTCGGAGCCTTCGCCAGATACCCCCCAGAGCCCATCAAGCTGCTCCCCAGGCAAGAGTAGGAGGGCCCAGGAGGAGTGGGCCAAGAACGAAGGCCTGATGCCTCGGAGTCTGTCCTTTTCTGGCCCCAGGTACGGCCGTAGCCGGACGCCGCCCTCTGCAGCCAGCAGCAGGTACAGCGTGCGGAACCGGATCCAGAGCAGCCCCATGACCGTCATCTCGGAAGGAGAAGGGGAAGCTATGGAGCCTGCAGATGACAGGGCTCCCTGGACCGTGGGCACTGCAAGGGGCTGTCCGCTGGACGGACTGGCAGGGGACGACATATTCGAGGGCAGCCTGCTCTGCGGCAGGGAGCCAGCCGCCTCCCTGCGGGCCCCGTCTCCCAGCCCTGCAGGTGGCACAGCCACTGCAGAGGGCGGGGGTCCTCTGAGGGAGGAGAGCTAGGGGCAAGGACGCAAGTCTCCGGAGATGTGGGGGACACGCACGCGTCCCTCCAGGAGGCCTGCAGGCCCCCACCGGTCCATGGGCCTACCCAGTGTCTGTGCCGTGGGCCCTGCGGTGGGAGGGAGGGAGAGAGGGTTGCTTAGGGCTCTTGGCATGTCCCATGTGGCTGAAAAGCAGGTAGAAGGTTAACTTCTAGAAGTGCTTCCTGGGGAAGATTTTGTCTTTGCTAAATGTGGAGTGTGTGTAGGGGTGTGTGTGCATTTTGAAAACTTTTTACATTAAAAAAAATACACACACAAACAGCATGTACAGAAATAGAAAGAAAGAGTTAAGCGGGGTAGAGGAATGGGGTCTTCTGGATTAGGTGGACATTGCTTTAAAGTGTCCTGTTTATGGAGGTTAGTGAGTTCCAGAAGGGAGGACCATTGCTTCTAGGTGGGGGGTGGTGGATGTGCTGGTTCTGGGTGCACAGACATGCACAGGTGTGCTTCCGGGGAGCCGTGTCGTGGTTCACCCAGAAAGTTGGGAAAGGGCTAAGTGACTCACTGGTTCAGGTACTTTTTTCTGGGGGAAAAAGGCTGTTTCTTTTTTGTACAAATGGCACACATGTGGAAGTGGCAGCGCTGTGACTCGGAGCCTGCTGCTGTGTAGCTCAGACACACAACTTTTAGCCTGATTTTTAGAAATGTGGGTAGTTTTTTAATGACTTTCCCCCTTGAGTAGCAGCTGAGACCGTCCTCGAGGGCCAGAGTGATGGCGTGCACAGGCAGAGAGGGGAGGGAGCAGAAGGGAGAGGAGTGAGTGAGACGCTGCTGGAGTGTGTTACCTGTTTATTAAATAAAGTTATTTTTCAGGATTAAATTTAAAAACTTGCACTACAGAACTGTGGGTGGGGCTTTTCCTTTTACAACTGTTTTGTACCAGAGTTTAAACTTCCATTTGGCAATTTCTTATCACTTGAAATGTCAACATTTGCTAACTTTTGGATATCCTTTTGGTTACACCAAAGAAAAAGTTATGGCTATTTTTCTTGGAACAGCCTACAGTTTCATGTCCTCATTTAGAAAGGTTTATCAAAATCTATTATATATTATCTTACTTTGAAGAAAATGCTGAATAACTCCTGTTAGTCAAATAAACTGATAAAAATTGTCAGGGCCTGGCTATTAATTAGCCCTAGGAAATGAGTTTTTAGAGTAAAAAGATTTTTTGCATCATTTGGTTTGTGCATTTTTGTATTTTTTATAAATAATTGAGTTGGCTACTTACCTTCTAATCATCTCCAGTTAGAATTTCAACACTTGTAGACATGGAAGAGAAGTGTCAAGTATTTATTTTTATGTCGTATTCTTGTGACTCCTTCCTCCATCCCTCTCAAACACCAGTACTTAGACCCCTTTATTTGTTGGTTAAATAAAACAGAGTCTTGTCTTCTTCATTAGAAGGACCTAAGATGACAATACTGAGATTCTTGGCCTAAAGAGAACACAGCTGCCAATTGTCATCTCTTTTGGTAGGAAAATATCATCTAAAAGTTGGACTGATGGGCCAAATCTTCATGAGATTTATCTCATAAAATTTTAGATGCCCATTTGAGACATGTCTTTGAGACAAAAACAGGAATTTAGGCTCCTTCCCTTCTCTGAAGAAGACAAAACACTTCTTTTCATACAACCCGATCAAGACTGACATCTGGGCAAAAAGCCTTTTTACCATTTGGAGCGATTGTCTGCACAAGGGCACAAGGACCTTTTCTACTAAACTTGAGGAAATTGGTGTTGGCTGTTGAAGGTGAAGTCTTCTCATAGCTACCTAGGAAAGATTAGAATGTACGTGGATATCAGAAAACTTTAACTTAATATATAAATCATGTATGTTGAAGGTAAGATAAGCAACATCAAAACTGATTATAAAAATCCCCATTTTTAAAGGGACAAATATATTAGGTTTTTAAATTTGCTTTGAATAAAATGATTGTAAACATTTGACCCTTGTTTCTTTTTGTTTGTACCTGCGTTTTTGATTGCTGAGATTGGTCTTCTTGCACAGACCTGGAGCACTCGCTGGGCACAGACAAAGCAGTGAGACCAGAGGGTCTGGCAGGAGGCAGGGGCTCAGCAGAGAGGGGCCAGCACGTCACAGACACTGCGTGGTGCTGTCTGGAAGGGTGGATGGAAAGCATCTCTAAATGACGTCCTGGGGACCTTTGAATAAAAGACAAAAAACACGTTGACTGAGTTCAGAGGGTGTGACGTGTGGAAAGACGGGAGAACGTTTCATAGACTTGGATGAAATACAGGGAGACGAGAATCTAGACTCACCCTGAAACAGGAGGGCACCTGGAGCTTAGCTGCTTCCTGTGGGGGCTCACTCCTGGTCATGACCTTGTTGTATCTGAAAACTCAGGGTAGACTTGATCACCCTCCTTACGCCCTGAGACATTGAGTGTCGGGCAGCCCTAGACAGAAGCCCCAGGGCTGTTTCCACCCAGTTCTTCTAAGAGTTGGGAGAAGGACCAAGGCCATTTCCACTGCTGGCTGGAAGCAGCCTCCACTTTGGTCTGACCTTTGCCTTCCTGTTTCTGGAGAATGTTGATTGAAGTCGCTGCTCCTCAGGTTGGGGGAGCATATTGTTTGGGGCATCACAAGGACAAGGAAAGAAAAGGTGTTTCTGTATCTGGGGCTCACTCTACCTGCCAGCACCTCGCAGCCCTGGTGGGCGTCCTGGGGGACAGGGGAGGTCGGGCTGGCTTTGTGGTTCTGCCTTGCTGTGTCTTCAGCACATTAACTGAACATGAGCAATTGTTTCCATTGCTGAGACCCATCATGAAATGAGCACAACAGGACCATTTGCTTTGGCAGATATTAGGATCTTTGGGGGAAGGAGGGTCTTTTGAACAACACAGGGACCTGATTCTTGAGGTCCGGGTGACTTTTGAGGTCTGTTTTCCTGTAATAAGCTAGTCAGTTACTGTAATGTCGTTTCTTCAGTGAGTTACCCTGAAGTGTCTTCCACAGGGGCCAGCCTTTATCCGCAGAACGAGGACTGGAGCAATCTGATCATCTGTTCAGTGAAAAGCACTTTATTAAATGCTTCTCATGGGCAAGGTAAGGATGAGGGCGCTCTGGGATAGAAAAACATGGCTGAGTTATCATTCAGGGGCTTCAAACTAGTGAAAAGACACACACACAATGGACTCCCGTAAAACACACAAAGAGGAGGAACACCTGACAAGCGTTCCCTTTGCCAACAGAACCTGAAACAAGTTCAGGCGGGTGGTGCACGCAGCCCGGACGCCAGACCTCACAGCCCGGGGTCAGGAGTCACTGGCACAGTTTGGCCCCTGAGACATGTGCAGGGGCCTGAGAGTTTACAGGAAAGCAGCTTTCCTCGTGTCGACGCCACCCCTCCTCTGTGGCTTCCTCCCTCCTTTTCTCCCTGGAAAGGACAGGAGGCTGGTGGAGGAACAGAAAGTGCTCTTGCAACTTCGGCACCAGTAAGGATGGAAGCCGCAAGTCACAGAAGGCAGAGGAGGAAGGAGCCCAGAGCCACCGTGCCAGCCTTGGGCTGTCTGCCACCAGCCCCAGCTGGGGGGGGGGGGGGGGGTCAATTTTCATTCCCTGTGCAGCTGGGTGACACGTTCTCCGAGGGAGACGTCCCTGCCTCTGACGGGGTTGAAGGGGAGGGATTGACCTTGGTGACCTGAGCTGACTTCACTGCCAGGAGCCTTTCACCAGGCAGGGGCATCTGGGAGAAGAGACCTTCCAGATGCAAAGAGCGTGTGCAAAGGCACAGAGGCAAAGTGGAGGAGGGCATGTGGCTGAGGAGGAAGCCTCTGGGAAGCCTGGGGCACAGCCTGGAGGTGGTCTGGGGCGAGAATGTCGATGGACTGGACTCTGTTTTGTCGTCCTGGGATGGGGGAGGTTTTAGAGAAGGGGAGTGACATGGCCTGCTTGGTTTGCAGCCCTTTTCTCCCATGGTGACTGCATCTAATCCCAGAGCATTGAATAAATGTGATACACACTGCACCCCGGGCCCCTCCCATCCCCACTTCCTCCGCAAGCTCTGGATCAGTCGGGCAGCTGCTACTCAGAATTGCATCTAGAGGTGTTTTAAACGTAACATGAAACCACACCTGTCCCTGCCTTCACCTGACCAGTAACAGCATTAGCATTCACACGAGGGCTCTGGCCCCTGGTCTAGGCTTGGCCTGTGGCCTCCTTTCTCTTCACCCCACATCCAAACCGTAACCAAGTCATGTAAACCATGTTGCCAAACAGACCACAAGTTCAGGTCCTCCTCACAGTTCAAACCGGCTCTCAGGCCAAACCTTTACCTCCTGACCAGACCAGACTGTTCAAGAGCCTCCCAAGAGGTCTCCCTGCCTTGGCTGTGCCTCCTCACCGGCTTGCGGTTCTTGCGACAAAGTGAGCTTTAAAGCAATTGAAGGCACTCCCCTGCTGGACCCCCTCCACAGACGGGACATTACAGCTGGGATAGGGTTCCAACTGCCAGCTGTGACAGGAGCGCCAGAGGCCTCAGTGCAGCAGGACCCCTCAGGAAGGAGACACTGAGGCAGGAGCCACAAAGGCCTCACTGGAGCGGGACGCCTTTGGAAGGAAAAGAGAGGAGGGCAGGGAGGCTGAAGGAGCTGTCACACTGATGGGCCAGCGGGTACGATGTGCTCTCCGGACAGGACCCTCGCTGCCAGGGTCCTATCTGGGCAGGAACAATGGGTTCTTGCCCACTCCCTTGCTTGGTCTTTGGCAAGGAGCCAACTGAGAAAAGTGTGCCCCCGCAGTTTCCCCAGCTCAGCGAGATCACTGGCCCCCAGCCCTTCCTGCCTTGAGAGTGGTGTCACTCAGCTGGAATGCCAGGTGGCCTCTGAGGAGGCTCTCAGCTCTCCTTGCTTCTTGCAGCTGAGCAGCAAGTCTCCTTGAAGCACACCTGAGGGAGGCATCCCCATGCCCGCCACGGTCCACCCCTGCCCCATGTTGATCTTCTTTTCCATAAATGTGTGGAGAGCAGCTCCTCCAAGGTTCCAGAAACTTCCCTTCCTGAGGAGAAATTTAAAAAGAAGAGTTCGATGGGAGCGACGACAGCACATCCTGCAGTGGGTCTCCAGGCCACCACTGGTACTCATGCCCCTCTTTTCTGAATTCCTTTTCCCTCAGCGGTCACCTCTGCGGATCTCGGCGGCTTTCCTGAGACTGTGACCGAGCTCTCGTTCCTGGGGATTCTGAGATCCTGGGCTGCTGCGCTGTTCATTCAGTTATAATTAGGCCAGGAGTATGGGAGGTGCCCCACGCAGGTCCCCTGAGTCCCACACATCCTGTGACAACAGGCTCACCACCTTCTGCAGTTCAGGATCAATTACCCCAGACAAGACGTGACTTTTCTTGGCGGCTGGTCCCTGGACACAAGGAGACAAGAGCCCAGGTGGCAGCAGGGGTTGAAGCTCAATGGCACCCTTGCTGTGTTGATACTGTTGCTATCACAGTTGATACTGTGTTGCTGTGTTGCCCAGGGAGGGTATACACCTTAGAGCAAGGACCTCGGGCTCTGTACAGCCCAGAGTTGCAGGGTGGGAAGTCCTATGTCACTCAGTGGCTCATTGGGAGCCATGGTAAGTGGGGCCACTCCTCCTTCCACCCCTGGTTCTCGGCTCCAGGCGTCCTTCCTGTTGTGGACACAGAACCAGACAGGTCTCTGATTTAGTAAGTCTACCATGTCCAGGAGATGGTACCCCATCTTGGCAGGGTGTTCCCTCCAGCATTAAGGCAGGTCATCCCAGTGTTCTATCAGCCAGCAGCTTCCAGGTGGTGCAGTATGAGAGAGGACCAGCAGGTCCCGTGGCCAGGGGCTAACTCTCCCTGTTGGACGTCATGATGTGTAGATCACACATTCAGTAAATTCATGTGAGCGGATCAGAGATTTTTTAAGTCCTTAGACTGTGGTGCTGGTCAAGGCCCTGTAAGCAGGAAAGAAAACTGCTACCTCAAATAGATGTCTGCCCTTGTGCAAATAAACTGCTGGCCCTTTTCAGAAAGAATGGGCAAATATAGCCAATAAGGCATCCCATGACCAGCCAGTCTTCTCACAGCCTCACCAGGGTTTCAGCATTGGCATCTGGCTGGCAGGTTGGACATTCAGAGTTAGCAGTGTCCAGTCAGCCTTGGGATGTGGGCATCCGTGGTGTTGGAGTCCGTGCAGAGCCTCTACCTTTGCCACCATGGCCACTCCATCTGTGTGCACATTCACCAGCCCTGGGTGAATGACAGCTGACATTCTGACACCGATGGGCCGAGTCACTTCGTCTGGTTGTTTAGTGCCCCCACTGCTGGGCACTAACACGTGATACAAAGTTTTCAGGTTTTGTGTCCACTCCCATATGTCCATCCACAAGCTCTACCCCAGACCTCCTGGTCTCAATCATCCATCCTCCTTTTCAAACTCCTGGTCAGTTGCCCAGGCCATTTGCCACGCTGTGATTCCATATACATCTCACCTTTCCTCGCTCACAAAGTGAATGACCAGGTCCACCACCAAAACATCTGCCCCTTTTTTGCAGAAAGATTGCAGATCTTTCTCTTGAAGTGGCCTGTCAGTGTCACCCCTGAGTGAGGGTGTAATGCAACTGCTGTCCATTTTCAGGTTGCAACCACATAGTAAGCTGACTCATTGATAAACCAAGTTCAAGCCTTTCCCTCCTCCTTCAGCTGATCTTACATGTCTCCCAAACAGCCGGGGGCAGGGCAGGGGGTGCAGCCCTGGTGCCATGGGGTCAGGCTCCTTGCTCCTGCAGCCTGCTTAGTGCTCTGGCCTTCCAGTGATAGCTCCTGGAGGCATTTCCGTCTTACGATGGACTGTGCTGGTCCCACCAGCTTTACGACGCGGTGGTTCTGACAGGACCCTGCTGAGACGGGTAGTTCTGTACACACGGTTCCACCTCCACCAGGACCCAGTAGAACCCCGCGAGCTGTTTTCAGAAGGACGTCATTTTCTCCGGCAGCACAGTCTTGCTTCATGGCCCAGGGGCCTGCTCTGGGATTCTCCCCTTGGGACTTGTCATAGATTCCACGTTGCATTCTCTTCACCACTGACACCTCCAGTAACACAGGATCTGCCTAATCGTGTGGTCCAAGCTGCCTGTTCCTTCACATATTTAACTTCTGGGTCTGTTTCTAGGGATTGCTTTCTTCTCCCTGATTATGGGTCGTGTTTTTATGTTTCTTTGCCTATTTTTCTCGTATTTTTTACTGGGTGTTGGGAACTGTGAATGATTTTGTTGTGTTCCTTTAAGTAGTTCTGGGCTTTGTTCTGGTGCACAGCCAAGTCTGCTGGAGTTGGCTTGATCCTTCAAGGCTTGCTGTCGAGCTTTGGGGGTGAGGTCCCCAGAATCCTTTGGTTTTAGGACAGCTGACCCTCACTGCTACTACAACAGCCCTTCGAGGACCCTCCCCGATGCCCCAGGTCCACTCTCACCAGGGGGAACAGAAGCCACCCCAGCCCCATCTGTGCTTGGGGCATTGTTTGTCCTACTCCCTTCCAGTTGCTCATTTCTTGGCTTGGGTGGTTTCTTCTCACACCTTCACAGGTCAGTGCTCAGCCAGGGCTCGAGGGCCCGCTGCAGACGGCGGAGCTCAGTGGGTGTCCTCCTCTTCTCCTTTACTCTGCCTGAAAGGTTCTACCCACCCTGCCCTCCCCCACGTTGACCTCTGTCTCCTCAACTCAGTGAGGCCACTGATCTCCATGTGGTCCCTCTTCCTGCTTTGCCACCTAGAAACTGCCTCTGAGCCGTAAGCTTGACCAATCAGTGGACTCACCTTGTTCCCTTTCTCTCAGAGGTCACAGTCACGTGCTGTGGACGCTCAATGTCCGGCTCCTGTCACCATCACAGCCTGCAGTCATTCCTCTCCACCAGTGTGCCATTCCATCTAACTGCAATGCTTAGACCGCCCCTAGTGCCAGGAGCTGCCTGTGCACCGCCTGCCCACCGGGGACGGGGGTCTCATAACCAGCCAGGCAGTGAGTCACCCAGTTCCAAAACGCTGGCTTAACATCCACAATCTTGGGCTGCCCCAATCCCAGTTGTGCCAGTGTGATGCTGAGATGGAGTTAGGATCACAAAAGATGTTTGGCAAAGTCACCCCCCTGGAAGGAAAGGGGAACAGGAGCTGTTGACAACGATGCAGACCTGATCCAGTCTCTGTCACGCACCACGGAGCTGTGGGGCACAGGCTATTAGAAGGGTCCTGAGTTGGGCAGCAAGGGTGTGGTCCTTGTACCCCCACCTTGCTCAGTATGGCTGGGAGAACCCAGAAGAAGCATGCTCTCAGTATCCCTGCTATGCTCAGTCATAGGCTGGTACCCCCCCAAGAAGAGTGTGTCCTCATGTTGAGTCTGCAGCAGACCCTGAAGGAAGGATCAGCTGGAGACGTGGGCTGACCACATCCCCGCAGCAGGCAGCGGTCTTCTCCGAAGGTGGGTCTGAGCGGCGCAGCTCCACAAGCGTGTCCACCACCACTCCAGCCCCAGAAGGAAATGACGGTGCTTGGGCCACAGTAGCAAACAAGCACCAGAAACCATCAGTGACAATGTGGCAGTGGTACCCTCACCTCTAAACCAGGCTCCAGATCACAGTAATCGGCAGCAGCCTCACCCTGGGAACCTCCACAACTAATGCTCAGTCGACCCCAAGCGCTCTGGAAAGTCCGCTAACCCTCGAACGTTGCGCGTCCTGAAGCTCTGTCCGCGGTCAGCGGTTTCCGTGTCCAGGAGACGGCCCTGAAGGCACAGCTCTCTCTTGCTCAGCAAGTGGGATGTGCAAGCTTTTGTTCTGGATACTGAAGGCACCCTTTCCTTCAACGTCGTCACTCTGCCCGGGGTGCCCCCACCCCATCTGACTGGATCCATCTCATCGTTCAAGTTGCCAATGTCTCTTCCTCCGAAGGGCCTTGCCTGAGCCCCCTGTGGCATCCACTGCACCCCAACAAGCCACACTCTGTCCCCTGCCCCATTTCCCTGGTCTGCGAACTCTCTCACCCTCTGCAACGTAACCTCCATGAGGACAGGGACGGTCTTCCTGACACCACTGTATTCTCAGCAGGAAGACGGACTGGACAGAAGAGCGAGAGACACCATCGGATTAGGTACGGTGAGTCACTGATGAGGATGTCTGCTCACCACCGTGTCCCAGGACCTGGACCTGAGGGCAGTGCCTGGAACACAGTGGGGACCCCATGATGCCTTATTCAAGAATGGATGAGGGGCCTGCCTGGTGGCGCAGCAGTTAAGTTTGCATGTTCCACTTCAGTGGCCTGGGGTTCGCCAGTTCCGATCCCAGGTGCGGACATGGCATCACTTGGCAACCCATGCTGTAGTAGGCGTCCCACATATAAAGTAGAGGAAGATGGGCACAGATGTTAGCTCACGGCCAGTCTTCCTCAGCAAATAGAGGGGGATTGGCGACAGATGTTAGCTCAAGGCTAATCTTCCTCAAAAAAAAAAAAAAAAGAATGGATGAAAATAAATGACATTTCAGTGAAATGTTTAGGTGAAAAAGAAAGATTGTAAAGGGTTAAGCGATGACCAGAAAGCTTTGAATGAATGAATGCACTGAGTTTAAATGAATTGTTTCCAGACTTTTTGAAATATGTACTCATGAAAAATTGACATACATACGGACAAACGTGGACAGCTCTGGGGGAGCATGGAGGCGGGTGGGGCCGCCAACTTATTCCCTGTCGTGAACCCGAGATACCTCCTCACCACCTAGAGCAGGGAGAGGTGGGAATTAGTATGGTCCTGTGGAAGGATCTGGGGGGCTCTGGCTTAGTTTTGGGGTGAGGGATCAGGCAGAATCTGGGCCTGTAGGTGAGCAGTGGCTGGAGGTCCTGAAGACAAGGGAAGGGCTGGCGGACAGAGCGGGAATTAGCCCGACAGCAAAGGCGGAGGTTCCCCTGGAGGGATTTCCTGCAGGAAAGAGGAAAAGTCTCAACAGAAATGTGGACATGGGCTATTCTGCAGTCAGTGCCACATGATTAAAATCAGTGGTTCACTGCTGTGAGAAATATCTCTGCATTGATCAGTTTACGGCTGAAAATTTTTTTGTTATGATTTATGGAAGAGGAGGTAAAAATCGGATGGCCCGAACTTGTACAAAATTGAAGTTTTTATTGACCGTGTTTCAGATTACAACTAAATCTTGCTAATCAGAAATATGCTTTTCTCATTTAAAATGGAATTTACTGCATAAGAGATGCCTATTTATGTAGGACTGTAGAGTAAATATTGGAAATATTGACCTCACACCAACAGAGGCTGGTGCTGTGACATTCCTCAGCCAAAGGCTGGCAGCCGTCCTCCCACCGGACAGCTTGTGATGGTGAATGAGTGAAAAAAGAAATTAATTTCTTTCTCGTAAGCACAAAAATGGAATGAATCAATAAATAATCGATGCAAGCAAATGCCTTTGGAAAATAATTGCCTGGGATTTTAAAATTTATCCCCGTAATAATATCACAACCAGAAATCTAGCACGTTCTGTGACAACAGCTACAGTCTAAGCGGCGTCTCCAAGGTCAGAGTCAGGTTGATTATGCGTGTGTCCTGTGCAGGAGGAACAATTCCGTGCCCCAGTGCACTGGCGGCCTGAGATAGCTGCTCTCCTGAGGAGCCACCTCCCCGGGGACACGGTCCACAGCAGGGGCCCAGGAGTCAGACTGCCCGGATTCCAGCCAGCTGTGCCCTTTCAGCTCCTAGGGCAGGTCCCCTAACGGCTCTGTGCCTCAGCATCCTCATCTGTGAAATGGAGACGATACAACGTGGAGCAGAGTTGCTGCGAGGGTTGAATGTGGTCACTCTGTGAAGTGCTTGGAAGGGTGCCCAGAAGGCAATGCAATCCACACGGGGCAGCTATGGGGACTGCTAACCGCCGCCCCACTGAAGCCAGGTTAGGGAGAGTCATCTTACAAGACACCGTACAGCACTGGGGTTCAAGGGACCTCAAGCATCATCTGCCCCACCCTCGGATCGATTGGATACTCAGACCTCTGATGCAAGTGATCACGTGGTTTCTGCTTAAACACAGGCTATGATGGGACCTGGGAGGGTGTCACCCTCGGCAGCTTTAGCTGTTGGGAAGTCCCTGAGCTCCAACTGCTTTTCTCTTTCACTCCCGCAACCACCATCCTCTAGGAGCCCAGGGAAGAGCTAGCGCCCCTCCCACAACAGCTGCCGGGTATCTGAATGTGACTTTGTCCCCCCAGGACAAGCATGTTCCAACACTCCCAGGACAGGATTCCACCCTCCTTGACTTGGTGGCAACGTGCTCTGAAAAGCCAATCATTTTTATACGACCTCCAGAAATACTTCATGAAATACTTTAAAAATTCAAGTGAATTTTGAAATTACACGTTTGTATACATTTTAAACTGTGCCATTATTGAGTATCAGAATAGGATGGGAAGTCACTAACTTCATAAGCTTATTCTTTGTCAGAAATACTATTGACACTTTTGGGTACCGTGAGAATTTTCTTGGGTGGTGCGGGCAGCAGGCTGACGAGGACAAGGACTCAACAGACAATCTGACTTTCGTGTCCAACTGCACACCACCTCTCCAGGCCGACAGCCCAGTGGTTCCACACGGGATATACCTTTAACATTTTTATTGCTAATGTCTGGAGGGGATGACCTCCAACTGACACGAATCCAAGCAGAGAAAGGCACCGTGACTATGATACAGAGAAGAAGCGGGTGACCCAGCATCTCCCAGAGCCTCGAGGAGGTAACGCGCTCGAGCTGCGACCCACCCGAGGGTCTGGGATGCTGCCCCACTAGCTGACCTGTGTGTCTAGATGGAGTGCAAGCATTGAGAAGGCACCTTGGGAACAAGCTCAGTTCAGAGGGGGACACTCAGCGGAGACGGCAGACGTGGGTTATTGCAGGTGGTGCGACGTCTACGCACAGAAGCGCTGCCCCTGGCAACGGAGCATCCTCTGTTTCTCATTCCTTTTCTTCGGAGGGTTCATTTTTCTGAATCAACCACACCTCGTTGTTTCTGTTAAGCAATTTGAAAGGACTGCTGTAGCCTGCAGTGTAGTAAACCTTTTCATCGAAAACTTTTCCTTCTTCCCTCAAAATGCTTGCCAATGTCAGGAGTTGTTCTCGGTTCTTCTGGGCACTAGAGAATCCCTCGAAAGACCTACAAAGGAGAGAGTACATGACCATGAGTGACTTCAACGCTGAGGCGAACGTGAGTCTGAGGAGAGGAGCCGACACCACAAATGCTGGAAGAAGTGCAGTTCCAAGCACCCCCTCGGCAGCTAAGCTGATCGTCCCGCCTCTGGCTCCCGGTCTCAACGTGACCTCAGCACGTGGAGGAGAGGCAGGAGAGCACGCCCCGCCCGCGGGCAGGCGGGTTTGGGATGTTCACCATCTCCGGCTCTGACTCTGCTTCTCAAACCTCAGCGTGTGTATGAGTCACCCGGGAGTCTTGCAAGAATGCAGACTCAGGAGGTCTGTGGTGGCCGGAGTCCATTCCTAACAGCCACCCAGTCATGCCGATCCCAGGACTCACTGAAGCCCCTGAAGCCTCCCTTCCAGACTCAGTTTTCCATCAAACCTCCCCTTCTTCCTCTCCTCAGCAAAGGGGAGGCACTGTATGACAGAGGAATATGATACAGTTTTCAATTTATGGTTTAATGGAAGAGTTTCAACAGAGACAGGACCAGAGTGTGTGGGGACACGGAGCACATGATTAAATCGGGGTTGGGGTGTCACCTGAGGATGGTTTTGCTGGGCAGAGGAAGACAAGGGGTAAGAAAAGGAAGAGAAGTGCAAAATTACAAAGCATGTTCATAGTGAGGCAGAGTACGAGGTCAGGAAGTGAGTCAGAGCCAGAGGAAGAACCTGGTACACCATCCTAAGGCCTTCTGAGATTATCTGGAAAGATGCTGAGCAGGAAGGTAACTTGATCGGATCCAGCTAAGAATGCAGACAGACAGACTGAAAATGCATCGGAGAGAAGGTCCTAGTTAGGGGGCTGCTATGGGGATGAAAGAAAAGACAGTCAAAAGATAGATATAAAATGGGGAATGAGAATAAAAGGTTAAGTGTAGATTTTAAAGTATATAAACATACACACCCTGAGATTAAATCAGGACGGCACACAGACCGAGCTGAGTCACTGACATGTAAACATCATGGGTTTTATTTTGAAGGTTAAGAATAGGAAACACAGAGAAACAATAATATCCCTAGTATGCCTTTTTTAGCATAAGTTTTGTTTTTCTTTTGGTGAGGAAGATTGGCCCTAACATCTGTGCCAATCTTCCTCTATTTTGTATGTGGGATGCTGCCACAGCATGGCTGATGAGTGTGTGTAGGTCCATGCCCAGGTTCCAAACCTGTGAACCCTGGGCCACTGCAGCAGAGTGTGTGAACTTATCCATGATGCCACAGGGCCAGCCCCAGCATAAGTTTTATTATCAATATGCCGATGGAAAAGATCAGTCCTGCCACTCTTCAGACAAGATGCGAGCTCTCAAGGGCACAAACTAGGCCTGTTTTATTCAGTGTCTCCCGGGCACCAGGAGTCATTCCTGGTGTGCAACACCTTTTAAATCCTTGTTGAATACGTGTAGGAACCTACGCGTGCAGTGTACTTAAAATATCGAAGATAATTTTCATTGTGTTGACTGATCATAATTCTAAACCAGGTGTTAAGAAACATATTGGTTCCTAAGTTTACTATCTATTTCCTTAATGAATAGCCAGCTCTTAGTATGTTCTGCCTAAAGGGAATTTGTTTTCAGATCCTACTTCTTTGAAATCAAATCTTGAGCCCCTAATTATAACCCGTCTTCTGCTCTCTGAATACACGTTGTTCCATACGGACCTGTCCACGGCTTTCTTCGGCACACAAACATATACCAACACCCCGCCCCCCAACACACATACACACAGCTGCCCTGACAGGAGCTGAAGGAGGTGGGTGGAGTAACACCCCGTGTGTTCGGGAGTAAGTCACCGTCTATGCACAGGTCATCCTGAGGCAGACTAACAGGACAGAGCGGCGGGTTGGCTGGAGAAGCTGAGGAAGGCCTCCCAGACGAGGTGCCCCCTGATCCAAGTCCTGGAGGACCAGCACGTGACAGACACGAGGGCACTGCTGAGGGAGACAGGAGCCTCCAGGGCGACGGGTGGGCTGTACGGACGGCGGGGGCTGAGGAGCGCACGGAGTGGCGGAGGCAGAGACGGCAACTCCTTACCAGGTTGGTGGTGAGGCGGAGAGGAAGGGAGTGACCCAGGAACTCCAGGGACACTATCACCAGGTACTTTGTGTGCTTTTAAATTTCAGCTGAATCTAATGTCAGGACTGAGTTAAAAAGGCACTGGAGGTGTGAAAAGTCCGGGACCAACAGAGGCAGTCAGTGCAGGAAGCAGCTCCCATCCCTCGGGCTGGGGACACGGAGGGTTTGGGGTTCTCAGAGCCTAGCAACTGGGAGGAGGGGAGCATGCACTGTGTCTTTTTTTTCAGGCTGACTAGATGGCAGCTGAGGGCAGCCTTATGCCTTTTTTGGGGTATAATTTGTCTTGTGTCTTATCTGTGGAAAGTATGGAACAGACTCCTCCTTAAATAAACTGATTATGTCTGCAAGAAACCCTTAGTAACATACAAAACCGAGCCAGTAGGCAAACACCACCAGAGGCACTGGACCTGTTTTTATGGAAGGGTGAGAATCCACCGACAGGCTGCAGGAGCCCACTGAGAGCAGGAAGTGAGGGAGCAGTGCCCGCTGTGTCATCGCCTCTTACCGCACAAACACGGTCATTCCAGCTCTGTCTTCAATGAAGACGTCTGCCTCTGAGGGCCTGGGCGGATCAGGTTGCTGGTCGGAGGGTACATACAGGGAGACAGTGATGGTAGGCTGGCTAAAGGGATCCGCCCCGGGCTCCACGCAGGTCGTCACCGGAGCTGTCATCTTTATTTTCTTCTCTGCGCCATGAAAACACATATTGGAATACAAAGGAGATTGTGGAAGCAGATGAAGTGTATGTCCAACTACTTTAAAAACTCAACGTATTATTTTCTGATCTGAGTTTCTTAATTTACTTTACTGACATAAATATTTACCTTTAAGATAATTTTCATCTTTAAAAAATAAGGCCAAAAGGACTCAATTGTCCACTGTTCACATTACTTTCTGTACTATTACTATTTTTGGTTAATAAATTCCCTAGATATTGGAGTAAAAAGGAAAATTAGCGATCACATAATCTATTCTCTATTTTTACCATTTAGACACGGGGGTCCCTTCGGCTAAGCGATCCAAATAAACAGCGTGCAGCCAGACCCAGAAGCGCGTCCTGAGCCTTGGGATCCGCCGCTTTGCGCCCTCCCGCTTCCTCGCCTCTCACACCCAGGCGCGAATGACGTCGAAGCACCGGCCATGAGGAGCCCCGGCTCACCCAGCAGGCTCGCAGACAAGGAGCACCGCCCCCCCAGACGCCGCCAGGGTCCTGGGCACAGCCCTGTCTTCGAACACTGTCTTTCATGTTCTGTCTTAGAATATTTTTCTATTCTAAAGGATATTTCTTTAAAAAGCTACAACTCAACAGTAAGCCGGGGGACTCAACCAGGACGCACACAATCACCAGGTATATGCCCCTCGCACCTGTCTCGTTTTTGCCTTGAACGTAGCTGTTCAGCCTGGCAAAGCCCGTCTGGACGGCGGAGTCCCAGTCCGCGGACTCCACGCGAGTGCTGACCCAGCGGGCCGGTCCGTAGTGCCGGGTCTCGTAGCTCCCGGGCTGAACGGGACACGGAAAACCCGGGCAACGAGCCTAAGGCGGCAGGACCGCGACGCGCCAGCCCGCGCAGGATCTGGGTCAGGGCGCCCGGCCCCTCCCCGGGTTCGAGATCCGGGACCACCCCCCTCCCCGGGTTAGAGACCCGCCCCTGGGTGAGAGATCCGGGCCCTCGCTCCGGGTTAGGGATCTGACAACCCCCTCATCGGGTTAGAGGCCCTCCGGGGGGTGGCGGTCCACTGAGTTCAAGTCCGGAACAAGCCCCGCCACGCCCCGCAGCCTGGGGTCCCACCGCGGGTTCCGGGGCTTAATGGGATCTTTTCTTTTTTCCACGGCAAAGACAAGACATTGGGACGATGCCCAGTACCGAGTCACGGCTAAACCACCGAATTCTCCCGTTGGTGAAGGCTGGGCTTCGGCTCAGGCCATTTTAAAAGTCGTGCCTTTTACCAAAATCCGCGGGACCCTCCGGCCTCGCTCAAATCACCCGAACTCGGCCCCGCGCCCCGCCGGCCCGCGCCCTCCGCGCCGCGCCCGCGCCCACCTGGGGGCCCGCGCCCCGGGGCGCCGTCCAGCCCGGCGTCTCCACGGCTCCGGCCGCGCAGCCCTCGGCCGCCCCCGGCTCGGGCTCCGGCACCTCGGCCATCGGCGGCGCCGACGCTGCGGGAAAGCCTGGGGGGCTGCGGGAGGGGCCGCCCCGGACACCGCCCTCCTCCCGCCGCGCGCGCCCCCGCGTCCCCGCCCCGCCCCGGTCCCTCCTCCCGCCGAGACCCGCCCCCGACGCTGCAGCTCCGCCGGCCGCGCCCGCTGCGGGGTTCCTGCGCGCGCCTGAGGCCCGAGCCCGGAGACCGGACCGCAGGCCCTGCGCGCCGCGCCCTTGCTTTCTATCAACAGGCGCGGAGGTGTCCACTGTGGAGCCGGGGCTTCCGGTGTCACCGGCTCGGAACCTGTTGCGCCGTCCCGCCCGCGCTGGGAGCGGGTTCTGCCGGCGCGAGTAGGCGAGTGTGAGCGCCCCGCCCTCCGTGAAAGGAGGGGTGAGCCTGCTCTAGGTGGGGGGGGCTCGGATCCCCACTGAGTGGTTTGCACCGCATGGCCGTGGGCTCGGAGCGCGGGTTGTGTCCGGGGACGCAGCCAGGAGCAAGTGGCCGCCCTCAGATCTGGAAGGAGGGCCTTTCGAGGGAGGAGGTGGGTGAGGCCACAGTTGCACCTGGAGAAAATCTCTGAGTCATCGCGCTGACCCACCAGGCTGGGAAGGTGCGGCAGCAGAGGGGAGAGCAGCGACTCCGCCGGACTGCAGCGCTTTAAAAAGGTTTTGGTTAGATTTCATCTTTTTTTTTTTAAAGATTGGCTCCTGAGCTAATATCTGTTGCCAGTGTTTTTTTTCTTCTTCTCCCCAAAGCCCCCCTCCCCCAGCGCATAGTTGTGTATTCTAGTTGCAGGTCCTTCTGGCTCTGCTGTGTGGGCCACAGACTCAGCATGGCCTGATGAGCGGTGCCATGTCTGCGCCCAGGGTCCGGACCTGCGAGACCCTGGGCTGACGAAGCAGAGCACAAACTTAACCACTCGGCAGTGAGGCCAGCCCCTGGTTAGGTTTATTCTTTATTTTTTCTGAGAAATTTATTGACATGTAATTTAAATACCATATAATTTACTGTTTGCAGTGTGCCTTTCAGTGGTGGTAGTATATTCACAGTTGTGCAACCATCAACACAATCAATTTAAAAACATTGTTATCACACATCCCCCGGAAAGAAACCCATACCTTCAGCCATCACCCCGATTCCCCTGTCTCCAGCCCTGGAGGACGACATCCCTGACCTCTGTCTGCACAGGTTTGCCTGTTCTGGACATTTCGTAGAAAGAATCACACAGTGTGTTAATACACTGAGGCTGCTGCAACAAAACACCACAGACCGCACCCGGTATTACGGGTTTGTAAACCACAAACCCATTTCTCACAGTTCTGGAGGCTGGAAGTCTAGGATCAGGGGTGAAGGCCCTCTTCCTGGCAGCAGACCGCTGGTGGCACCCCCACACAGTGGAAGGGGCCAGGGGGCTTTCTGTGTTCTTTAATAAGGGCATGAATCCTGTTCCTAATTAACCAATTACCTCCCAAAGGCCCTGCCTCCTAATACCATCACACTGGGCATTAGGTTTTCAATCTATGCATTTTGTGTGTGTGTGAGGAAGATTGGCCCTGACCTAACATCTGTGCCAATCTTCCTCTGTTGTATATGGGATGCTGCCACAGCGTGGCTTGACAAATGGTGCCAGGTTTACACCTGGGATCCAGGCCACCAAAGTGGAGTGCGAGAGCTTAACCACTACACCACCGGGCCAGCCCCTGAACCTGTGCATTTTGAGTGACACAACCATGCAGACCATGGCATGCAGTAAGCCATCCTTTATGACTGGCTTCTTGCACGTAGCAAAATGTTTTCAAGGTTCATCCAGGTTGTAGCAGGTGTCAGTACTTCATCCCTTCTCTTAGCGGAAAAATATCTGTTGGATAAACATTGTATTTATCCACTCGTCAGTTGGTGTGCAAACTTCTGGCTCAGTTGTTTCAAACTTCTGGCTGCCACAAGCATTCATGCACAGTCTTCCATACGACATTTTCATTTCTCCTTGGGTCAGAACCCAGTGTTGGAATTGCTGGCTCAGACGGTGACTCTCTATTTGACTTTTTAAGGAACTGCCAGACTGTTTTTGAAGTGGTGGCACATTTTACATTTTCACCAGCGAGGTGTGAGCTTTCTGTTTCTCCACATCCTCACCAGCACTTGTTATTATCTGGCTTTTTTATTATAGCCATCCTCATGGGTGTGCCTAACGCTTTAAAAACTTTTTTTTGAGATATAACTCACGTAACATGAAAGTCACCATTTTAAAGTGTGTGATTCAGCAATTTTTAGGATATTCACTGTGTTGCACAACCATCATCACGATCTAATTCCAGAACACTTCATCACTCCACAAAGAAACCCTGCGCAGTGTAGCAGTCGCTGCCCGCCTCCCCCCGCCCAGCCCCTGGCGTGATATCACTCGTCTCCCTTCTGTCTCTGTGGATTTCCCTGTTCTGCACATTTCCTACAAATGGAGTCATACAATATGTGGTCTTCTGTGACTGGCTTCTTTCACTTAGTGGAATGTTTCAAGGTTCCACCACATTGTAGCAGGTGTCGGCGCTTCCTTCCTCTTATTGCTGGATGATACCCCATTGTGTGGACCCGGTGCTTGTAGGGTAGTTGACGCCCTCTCTTTCCCATCCCCTTCGCTGCCCAAAGGAGCAGTGGCCTCCGACACATGGCACCTTCTTTTGTTTATATCAAATCGTCTATTATGCAGAACTAAGTTTGAATTATTGAGTGAAGGCTAAATAATGGATTTTGACTTATTTTTAAAATAACCTGTTTATTTTAACTTATGTAACAGACGTGACCCATTGCTTAGGAGACTGCAAAGTTGAGAATATAATTTTACCTAATAGAAAGTATTTTTTTAGAGAGAAAAAGGAAATAATTTATATTGTTGCTTAAGAAATCTGTTGTTCTTTTCATCCGCAGAGTACCTTTTACAGTTATCTATGCCTTTTGGGGGGGACATTTTAGTTGTGGAAAAACTGAGGCTAAATTTGGAGACCATTTTAGAGTGTGTGAAATATACAGTTGATGAAGATAACAGCAAGTGACTGAGCTGAATTATTTTTATTTAAGAGGTGATAATGATATAAAAGAACTTAAGGAAAGAAAGAAAAGGATTTCAAAATACTAGGATTTCATTTAGAACAAACAATGAAATTCAGAAGGCTCAGGTTTTATACCCATATGTCAAAGTAATCTAGCTCGTTTTCTTGTTAATTAATTAAGGTAAAATTTTTCTTCCTATTAGCTCATAATTAATGTTTCTGTGACAGCAGGAAGAAGATGTGTGTGTAAGCTGTGCAGCACACGTGATGGGCAGTGTGGCGCTACACCAGCAGGTGCCTCCACGTCGCCCAGCAGGGGAGGAGACCCTGGAGAGCCCCCAGCGCTGATTACAGCAGGTCATTATTCTCGGCAGCCACAAGTCCTATAAAGTCACCACACACACTGAGTCAGGGAACCCAAACCATTGCTTCTAGAGGAAATGCAGACCTAGGTTCCTGTGAGCCTGTGGTCACACATTTTTGTCAACTGATTGACATAGAACCTTGTTTTATGTGTTATTGTATAAAAATAACTTATTTAATACATATTGTTGATTTGATAATGTTGAACTCAACCAACAACACAGTAACTCGTGCCTTCATGACGTTTCTATGACATGTATCTTCTCTGAAAGGCACATCGCAGCCCTGTGCTTGGGAATGCTAGACAGCACTTCAGCACCATGCCTGGGGCCGTTCTAAACTGAAATCACCAACCAAAATGTAAAAACATGACAGACATGGCACCAAATGGACTGTGAAAAGGATGCTGTTCACCGTGCGAGAGCTGAACCTAGAAGGCTGAGAGCAGCCTTGTTCGACCTCAGCTGGGAATGTGCAGCTGGTAGCTCTAAGTTTCATGGCTCTACACATGCACATGTCCATCGGCGGCCAAGAAAGTGCTGTCAGTGTTGATTTTGGAGTTACAAATATATACTAGCAAGTAGGTGAATTTGCAAATGTGGAATCTGTGAGTCATAAGTATTGGCTGTGACTCCTTCCTGCAATAAGTTACTAAGTCACTTCCATCTCTATTTCATTGACCAAAGCAAATCCTCAGGCCTTGACTGACCTCCAGAGGGTGAGAAAGCGCAGTCGCGCTGTGATCTCAAAGAACTCAGATATTTGAAAGAAGCACCAACGCCAATCGCTGGTGCCATTTAGTCATTCCCTGATTGTTCCTCACTTGTGGCAGGTTGCAACATTATCTCCCATCCAACATGCTGGTTATAATGTGGCTTCGACACACCTCCCATCGAGGGAGGGAGGTCCAGGCTCCCTTTCCTTGAAACTGGGCAGGCTTATGACTACAGCAGAGGCGACACTGTAACTTCTAAGGCTGGGCCACTCAAGACCTCCACATAGTTCTAAGGACACAGAGCGCCAACAGCCATGCCAAAGGACGCCCAGCAGACTCCTGGAGAGCCACATACAGGTTCCTGGCTGAGGGCCTGCTGACAGGGGGCGTCAGCCACCACGTGTGAGGGACCCAGTGTTTGTGCGGCTCCGGCGTCTGCATTGAGTCACCTCCAGGCATCCTCGACCCCTCCACACTGAGGCCCCAGCAGTGGTGGCGCAGACACAAGCTATCCCTGCAGATCCCACAGAATCTGAGCCTCATAAAATGGTTGTTTTTTATGCCACTACACTTGGAGTGATTTATTTTTCAGGAATAATAACCAGAAGAGGTCTTCTGTGGGCGGTGCTGTAGGTGCCGGTGGGGTTTAGTGATGAATAAAATGTGGTTCACATGTTTCACAGTCTGGTCATCATTTACTCTGGGGCCATTCTTGCACCTACAATGTAATTAATTATTTGGGCTTTTTATAGTTTATCTTAAATATGATAACTGTAAAGTGGGTAGCAATTTGGTATTTTAATAGGAAATGTAATCTTTCCTTTTGCCTGGCTTCTCCTCTATTTTGGTGAGAATTACAATACTCCTCCGTTATTTAGACACAACACGCCCACGAAGCTGTCCTAAGCACTTTGCTCAGTGCCAACACATAATTGCTTGATAAATGTTACATGAACATCAGTCAGAATTTGTCAGACACTAGAGAGTGAGTGTAGGGGAGGAAGACATTTCCTCTACCCTCTCTGGGTTCTTCTGGCTGGAGAACGAATTAAGTTCACATGAGACAGAATAACTGGAGAAAATTAAACAAAGCTTTATAACGTGTGTACATGGGAGAGGCTCAGGCAACCTGAGCAACTCGCCAAAATGGCTGAAGCCACCACCTTAAATATCATCTTCAGCTAAAGACAAAGGAGGATGTTGGGGTGGGGGGAGTCAGTTACAGGAGGTTACCAGACAAGCACAGTAAACAGGAATACGATTATTATGCAGATTTAAGTCCTGCCTTCTGCATTGATAAGAGTTTCTAGAGATAAGGTCATCCCCCTTCTTCCTGGTACAGAGAGGGAGACACCTTTACAGATAGAGATTTCCTTTACAATGTAAATATCGCTCAACAAAGGGTAAGTAAATTCTACTCCTCAGAGTTCCTTTCCCGTCTGCAGTTTATTAAAAGTAACCAGCCCCAAATAATCTTCATGCCAAAGAGATATATCTTGGGGTGGCCAATTCCAGTCCTCCACATGAGCAAGGGTTTTTGGAACAGCTGTGAACCACCTTTCTCATGGGCCACGGAAAATGAAGAAACATTTATTGAATGTGGGGATGAGGCTAAGAAAGCTAAGGTCTAAAGCTGGGATGCCTTTAAAAATTGAAATATCAATTATAATCAGTATGAGGCTCAGGTCTAACTCCAAGGCTGTGGTGAGTGTTTATAGAAAAGGAGAGATGTCCATACTGGTGTTAAATGTTCATGCTTTGAAGTAAGTAGACAACCAAATGCACCACAGCCAGACAGCACCCATTCCAAAAAGCTCTTCAAGGAAACTAAATGCTTGATGCAGCTGACAGAAATGTTTCTAATGAGCCACTTGATTAAGGGCCATTTCCTAGAAAGTTAAGGCAGCTAGGATGTTCCTTTGTATGGGGCTTTTGCTGTTGCCATAAATTGTTACATTGTTTCTGGATCAGGACAAATTAAAGACTTGGTGGGAATTACACTGACTCCCTAACAACTTCTTTACACAGAGGCGTTAGAGCGTTTCAATGCTTCTGCTTCTGAGGAGGGAGCCGTCTGCCCCAGCCCTGAGCGCACCCCTCCTGAACCAGAAGGTTTGCAGCCTGGTTGTGGGTCCCTCATCATGGTCCCCTGGCAGTCTACACCCCAGATTGTTGGGTCGGCTTGTGCAGAATGAGTCCCAGGTGTGGAGAGGTTGGTGGCAGATGAAGAACTGACTCCCTGGTGGAGGGAAAGTTGAGCAGCAGCGTCTGAGGAATCTTGTCTTAGGGATCATTTTTTCTCAAGCTCTCTGTGATGAAGGACCCCTCACTTTGAAGAAAATTCCGTGCATCATAAACCAAGACGTGATTGTACTATGCAAGCCTGTACGCAGCTCACTTGTGCTGCCTAGCCCAAGAGTTCAGCAATAATTTGATCGTCTGTATACTGCTCAGTGAGATGAGTCCCTGATCATGTGCGTGGACTTTGTAAAAATGTTAAATTCCTACGACATTTCTGAACGCTTGCTGTCAATTTCTCTGTTTATCTTACCTCGGACTGGTAACGAATAATGTGTGAGCCAGCACCATTTCATGGACTGTGCTTTGAAGAACGTTGATTTGGACGACCTTCCTGGTCTCTGGTCCCATTGGAACCTGGTTTAGGGTCTCACACCCATTCTGCCCTGCAGTACCTCTTGGGTTGACTCTGGATAGCGGGCTTGTATTTACACTGAAGGAAGGTTATTTGCATAGTGTATTATTTTTATAAATTTTATTCTATATTCATAAATGTATATTTATACAAATATAGGTTTTATATGAATATAAATTCATATGGGGATTTTTTTCCAGGTTCATATTTATTGCACAAATTGAGGAGTTGATATTGGCTTTCCCCACATTGGCGTTTCCTTGGGGATAAGCATCTTTCCTTAGACTAGGAACTGATTGTTGCACTCACCTTTGACCACCCAGCTCACCTGCGAACCGCCCAGCTCAAGACAACAGACCTGCCACCCTGCTGTGCCCACCGAGACAGCAGACCTACCTGCTGTGTCCATCAAGCGCTGTGCCGACAGAGCAGACTCGTGACTACTGTAAAAGGGACATTTCAGTCATATGTGAAACATCCTCTTTGGGGGTATATAACCACTCTGTACACCCCACTTCTTTGGTGCCCTTTCTTCCTTTGGGAAGAAAGGCCATGGGCCATGGTCCTCACATTTTAGCTCAGAATAAACTCTCCCAAATTTTCATTTATAGATTGGTTGTGGGTTATTTTCGTCGACAATAGTTTACACTTTCTTAAATGTTATAACCGTAAAGTGGGTAGCAACTTGGTATTTTAACAGGAAATTTTCTGATTCCATTTTCTTTCACTTCTTAGCTTATCAATTATACTTCTTTTTTCACTTTTTTCCGTGGTTGCCCTAGAGTTTGCAATATACCTTTACAACTAATCTAAGTCCACTTTCAGATAACACTGTGCTGCGTCGTGGGCACTTGAGAACCTGGCAGACTAGCCTAATCCCTCCTCCTGTTCTGCGTCATCGCTGCCGTTCATTTCACTTATATATAAGCCACAATCAGCAAGTACATTTTTGCTGTTAGTATTTTTGAACAGATTGTTATCTGTTATGTCAATTAAGAATAAGAAAAATAAAAATGTTTATTTTACCTGCACTTATTCCTTTTCTAATCCTCTTTCTTTCTGTATCTGAGTTTCTGACATATCATTTTCCTTCTCTCTAAATAACTTCTTTTAACATTTCTTGCAATGTAGATCTATTGGCAACAGATTCCCGCAGTCTGTGTTGGTCTGAGAGAGTCGTTATTTCTCCTTCACTTTTGTGGACTAACTCTGCAGGGCACAGAATTCGGGTTTGCGGTTTTTTCCTCTCAACACTCCAGATGTTTCACTGCACCTGCCTGCCTGGTTTCTGAGAAGAAATCGATGTTAATTCTCATCTTTGCTCCTCCACAGTTAAGGGGTTTTTTTCCTCTGGCTGCTTTGAAGATTTTTCTGTCTTTGATTTCCTGCAGTTTGAATATGATATGTCAGGGTAGACTTGTTTTGGCATTATTCCTGCTTGATGTTCCCTGAACTTCCTGAATCTGTGGTTTGATGTTAATTTGGGGAAATTTGCAGTCATTATTGCTTTAACTGGTTCTTCTCTTCCTTGCTCTTTCTTCTCTTTCTGGTGTCCCATTACACGTATGTAGCACTTTTTGTAGTTGTCTCATAGTCTTAGATATTGTTTCTTTTTTTTTTTCAGTTTTTTTCTTTTTTTTTTAAGATTGGCTCCTGAGCTAACATCTGTTGCCAATCTTCTTTTTTTCTTCTTCTCCCCAGAACCCCCCAGTACATATTGTATACTCTAGTTGTGGATTCTTCTAGTTGTGGCACGTGGGATGCTGCCTAAGCATGGCCTGATGAGCGGTGCATGTCCGTGCCCAGGATCCAGACCCATGAACCCCATACTGCCGAACAGGAGCGTGTGAACTTAACCACTAGGCCATGGGGACAGCCCCCAGTTTTTTTCCTCTCTGCTTTTCAGTTTTAGAGGTTCCTACCGAGGTATCTTCTAGCTCAGATTCTTTCCTCAGCCAGTCTACTAAGAAGCCCATCAAAGGTGTTCTTCATTCTTTTACAGTGTTTCTGATATGTAGCCTTTTTTGTTTGGTTCTTTTTTAGAATTTCCATCTCTGCTTACATTCCCATCTGTATTTGCATGCTGTTTACTATCCATTAGAGCCCCTCACCTATCAATCATAGTTGTTTTAAATTCCTGATCTCATTCTTCCAGCATCCCTGCCTATCTGAGACTGGTTCTGATGCTTGCTCTGTCTCTTCAAACTGTTTTTTGCCTTTTCCTGCGTCTTGTAATCTTTTTCTAGCAGACCTGATGTGCTAGGGTAATGAATTGCTGTACACAGGCTTTGGTGCTGTGGGAGGTGTTGGGGGAGGTCTCCTGTGGTCCTGGGGTTATGCCTCAGGCTTTTGGTGAGCCTGACCCTCTGCACAGTGAACTTCACAAGTGCTTCTTAGGCCCACGGTCTTCTCCCCTCCCAGTGCTGGTTCAGGATGGGTAGGATGGGCTGGGGTTGGATGTTGCCTTCCCCCAGGTCGGTTAGGCTCTGGTGAAACCTGGGCAGTTAGTCTCTGGTTAGGTAGTTTCTCCTGAGGGCGGGCCTTGTTAGGAACAGAGCCCTCTGGTGGGTTTCAGAATGGTTCCTTCTCCCTCCCCATGCCAGTAGCACAGGGGATTTTTCTCTGAGATTCATTGTGAGGACCTGGCCGGGCTCCAGGATGTGGGGCCCTCGACTGTCTGAACTCTCAGGTTGGTTCCCTCTGAGCGTCCAGCCATTGGTCAGTAGCCCCTCAGGTTCCCACCTGTGCTGGTTCCAGAGGAGGTTTCCCCTCTGGTACGTGGGCATTTTCTGTACCTGCCTGTCCGTCTGTCTCTAATTTGGGAGCAGTGGTTTGCCCCGTGACCTCACTTCTCTGATGGATCTAGGAAGAGTTGTTGTTTTTCGGTTTGTTCAGCTCTTTCTTGGTGTTAGGATGAGTGACGCCTTCCAGGCTCATTACCTGCCAGGCCAGAAAAAGGTGCATTCATGATGTTTTTCTGGTCCAGTGTAGAATTTGGGGAAAACGCCCACCTTCTAGCCACTG